TTTTTCCATGTTCTTGATACATCCAACCATGATAAGAGAATAATCTTTTTAATGCAGATTGTCGAATTTGTACTAAAACTATATATGCACCAGTGCCAAATACAATATATGCAAGAATTTTTGAATTATCTGGTGTAAAATATCGTTTAAACACATGTACATCAATCCAATCAATTAAACCATATGATACATCATAATCTTTTATATGAAGACCATATATAACACCACACCAAGCAATACCACGAAGTGGATGTCCAGGATATATTGTATTATATAAAGAATTCATCGTACGACGACACCGAAGTTTCCATGACCGTAAACCCGAATACAGCAAAGCTTTGAATACATCATAGCTTAAATTAACACTTACACCTATTAGTCAAAAAGAAAAGAATACAATCTGTATAAAATATGAATTAGAAAAGTTCTAAATGAATACCTTCGGCACCAACTGTAAATTGAAAAGCAACAGCTTCGTGTGCTTCAGCCATGAGATTATTTTCTTTTCGTATATCGTTATGACTATATTAATATGATACGATTACTGAAAGTCAATCTAAAGTTAGAATATCTATTTTGTAATAGTTGTACTTTGACCTGTTGTTCTTGTTTTCAAGTTCGAAAGAATATATTCATGCGTAGTTACTATAGACGTTTACGTAAGCTGTTGTATGAAGGAAAAGAAAGAGAAAAAAAAAAGTCGATGGAAGGGCAAAAGAACGACAAATGCAGTTGCCCGACAAAAAGAAAATTGCGTTAATGGTGTTCAATGAGGTAAAGAATCGTGGTTTTTTTTCTTTCTATCTAAAAAAAAATGAATAGGCTTTTTTCTTGTAATATTTTATGATTAAAGTGCTGCTCACAATTTCACCATTTTCAACACACGCATATAATAAAGATAAGACTCATTATCTAATTACTCGTAATGTTAACTTGAAGGTGTTCATTCTTATAATTTTTTATATTATTTGTCATTTCTTTTTCTGTTTAAATATTAAAAAGTCACAACTCAATTAAATATCTTCTCTATGATATACTTAACGAGAAAAAACAATTTGATGTTTACATGAGAGAAGGTGAAAAAATGAATAAATTAAATAAGTTTGTGACAAACAAAAAGTATCTATATATATATTGATAGAAATACAAAAAAAGATTGAATAAGTTTTTTTGGTTCATTTCTTTGTTTTTTTGATATATTATGATGTTTTCGGATATTGTTGAGCAGGATTATAGTAAGCATTTTGAGGTGGATAACCACCATAAGGTTGTTGAGAAGCTAATGGTGGTGGAGTTGGCATGGATGTTGGTTGTATAAAAGATGGATTGATTGTTGCTGGTGATGAACTTGATGGTGGTGCTTGTGGTTGTTGTTGAATATATGCATTAGGAGGTGTATTAATATTAGGATTAAAAGTAGGAAATCCAAGTCGTTGTTGCATTAAAGCTTGTTGTTGACCATAAAAACCACCTTGTTGTGATGGTGGTGCTTGTTGTTGTTGACCTATAAATGTTGATGTTTGAGCAGTATTTGAAGATGGCGGTGGTGGTGGTGGTGGTGCTGAACTAGAATTGAAAGCTGATGTTGTATTAGCATTTGGTAATGTTTGAGGAGGAAATGGTGTTGGAAACCGAGAAGTAGTACTAGCATTTGGTAAAGGTGGCATGCCAGAAAATGATGTTGGTGGAGGACCAAATAGTGATGATGGTATTTTAGTTTGTTGATCATTAATTCCTGTTGGAACGAAATGTGGTGTTGGCATTTGTTGAAACGAAGTAGGTGATGGTTTGTTTGCATCAGTTGATTCTGAAGATTGATATTGATTTTGTTTATCAACTATTTAATAAAAAAACAAATAATTATAATAAATAATTTCATATTGATGTTAAGATATTCTTTTATTCTTTTTTTTCAAATAAAAAGGAAACCTGTTGGTATTGTTTGAAATGTTTTTTGTTCATTATGAGCCGGTTTATTAGAATTTGAAGATTTCGATCGAATACTATCTGGAGTAGTTGAACGTTGACTTTGATGTAAATGTTTATATGGATCGAATTCACGTGCTGTACTTGAAACAAAAGCAGGCGTAGGAATTGTTGCTGTTGTTGTTACTTCTTTTTCTTGACCATTTGTTGTATCTTGATTTGTTGGTAATTGAAGTCGATCAAGTATTGTTTGTACGGAGTTTCGAATTTGTTGTAATTCATTTCGAAATGTTTTAGCATCAATTAAACTTCCTTCTTTATTAAGATTTCCTGCTGTTGAATTATTATTAGTTAATTGTTCATCACCATTAACTAATACAAATAGACGAAGCACTTTATGAAAATGTAATGCTACAGTTAAATCACTATCATTTAATAAAGTTATTTTGTCACCATCATCATCTAAATATTTTATTGTTAATTCATCGGAATTTGAAATTTTTCCAGCAAATATACGTTCCATCATAAGAACCAGTTCTAAATAATAAAATAAAAAAAAAACACTTATTTTTTTTCTATATCATCGTATTCCTTTCTATAAAATAAATTTTATACAATTATTTACCATTTAATGTTAGATCTTCATTATGTATCATCATTTTACGAATATCATCACCTAATTGAGCTTTTATAATTAATTGACCAGAAAGTTTATCGCTACTTGGAGTTGTTGATAGTGGAGCATTCGTTGAACCATTCATTGTAAAATTAAGTATGACTCAAATTTATATTTAGATATGAAACGAATATGTTAGATAACTCACGCAATAGATGAATAAGAAATTTATTTAACTAGAATAATGATAATGACACTAGCCACGTTGATATTGGACTAGATATGGATAGGCTTTTTAGAAAGCCAATCAATATCATGTCAATAATTAAATGTTTAATTTACAAGATATGAATATTTAATTGAATTTTAGTAATTTCGTATTTCAAAAAAACTTTATTTTGTTGCTAAAATTCGTATTTATGTCGGCAGATGTCTCACATTCTCGGAGTTCGAAACTATTTGTTCTATGTACAATCGACATATAATGAAATATTTAACTGAAAAGTCATGTCTTATTCAGTTATGGAAGATTTAAACAACAAGTCTGTCATTTTCAATGCACCATAAAAATATTAGTTCATAAATATGAGAAAATTTATCTATTTAAAAGCATAATTTATTTTACAAGAAGAAAATCTCTTATATATCATTTGCATTCTCTTGTATGCAAAACATATTTTACAAAAAAGAAGTTTAGAGTTAATTAATACGATAGACGGCAAAAGACTATTGAAGCAGACGTTTTCAGAATGAAAAGCCAATTAGACGTTCAAATGTATGCCTACAAAAACGGAAATCATCATTCTGCCCATATGTGATCTCATAATTAGCTCGTGTGGTAAAATCACTACGTTTTACAAATCCACAGACAACGTTTGTATTAAAATACAATACTATACTATTGGCTAGATGATTGGTATGATCAGAATCGAAGAAATTTTTCACATTGTCATTGATGATCATATTTCGACTTTTTCTCTTTCGATTGACACTAAGTAAAGTCGAGTTCTTCTGACTAACAATGTTTTAACACCGTCGATTTGGAATACCCTGCACATAAAATGTCCTTGGAAGCTTAATTGAAATGGTACGCTTGTGTCATGGAACAGAGCGTAACAATTAATTTGAACGAACTACAGTTGATCGTTTTGGGTGAAGAACACGTATTAGACGTGACGACTGAATCTCAGTTGATGTTCATACGTCGTCATCGTTGGTCAAGTCATTTAAATAGGCAAACCCATACGAAGCGTTGATACCAAATACTACCAATTGAAAATGGCGAATATAAAATCGCCATCAATAACAATATACAGTAATATCTCGTCGTACTTGAGCTATAGTTGAATCTGATATTGCTACTCTGAAAGAAATCTACGATTGTTCACATGCTGACTGTCATGGGTGTGTTCGTGTACTTGCATCAGAAATAGGCAGATGAATTACTAGGAGTAGAAAATTTGGAGTTTGTAAAAGTAGACAAACGACGCAGTGAATATTAAGATTGCTAGGAGAAAATTAGAATTTTCTATCTGTTCGGATACAAATCAACACTCCTTTGGTTTATTTTCTTTATCAAATACATTGTGTGTATCATACAACGAGAAAAGGCAGCATAATCGATCTAAATGAGAGAATAAATATCGAGAAAGAAATGAGTTCAACATAAATATATATATACAATCATTGATAAATCGACTTTGATTATAAAGTGATCAAATTGAAAAATTCTATTCGTAGAAAAACTACTCAACTTAACCACTGATTTGTTAACAACAGAGCCGATTGCATTATTATTCGCACTGCTTTCGATTGCTTGTCGCATTTCGTTGCATATATGCGATGGTTGATTTTGCGTTCAGATAAATCGTACTCAAATAAACTCTACAGATATTCACTACAATCATTTGATATTCTAGAGCGTAGTTGCGCTTGATTGTTAGTATGTGTCATTTTTTGTGCGTCAAAATTTTACGTCATGATTTTTGTACAAAAAAAGAGTTTGTACGAGTGCATGATTCACTTTTCTTCACACTTGAATTTTTGCTTCTTGAATCGAGAAGAAAATGAAGCTACCTTACATCTGTCAGTATGTTGACACAATGAATATCGTATGAGTGGCACCATAGATACTATGAGTGTGCGTCGCCATTTATTTTTAGTCTGAATAATTTAATTCTTCTTCTTCTTCTGACTTTTCTTTTTTCATCCACGACAAACGAAACCATCAATGGCATCTGAGTCAATTAGTACGAATAATACGACCAACGTCATTGGTGATTGAAAAAAACTGGTAAATAAAAGAAAAAGGTGACGGTAGTGGAAGAACAGAACAATCGAGTGTTATTCTTTCTCTTTTCTTTCAAACATATATAAAGCAGCCAGCACACATTCGAATCAAACAAATTTTTCTGCTAGACAAAAACGCAAATTCATTTGATTACATTTCTCTTGCAACATGCCAGAAGGTACGCTTGAAGTTATTGTTGTCGAAGGCCGGGAATTAAAAGATCGTGATATTGTCGGCCAAAATGATGCCTACATCGAAATCTATACGGAGAAGAAGTACAAGCAACGTACAAAAACGATTTCCAATACGAATAATCCAGTGTGGAACGAGCGATTTACGTTCAATGTTCACAAGGGTGATGATACAATTCATTTTGATGTATATGATGCTGATGTCGTTGGCAAAGATGCGATAGGTAGTTGCAAAGTCAAATTGAAACATGTCTTTGACGATGGTAAATTCGACGAATGGGTTAAACTACCGGCAATGCTCGGTTTATCGTCCAATGGACAAATTCATATCATCATGAATTTTCGAGTAAGCAACACTTTTGTTTTTTTTCACAAACGAACTAAATTTGTGTCTTCTCATTTTAGCCATCCTAAATCCATCTTGAACTAATCCATACGAATGACTCCGATTGTTTTTTTTTCGAATTGAGTTTGATTTTTTTTTTCTGTATCTATGGTAAGATTTTTTTTTGATACAGTTCATCAATAAATATATATAACAAGCATTGGGAGAAATATCTTAAAACTTTATCTAAATCATTGGACAGGTGTCTGCTATTAGAGCAGTCTTTCTTAAACTCGCATAGAGTTGTATAGCATGAAGGTGATTCAAGCATCCGTTGTCTACGAAGAACAAAACGTTTTGTACATCATATGGATGTGTTTTCAGTAGCCACAAGATGGATGGCATCGTATGGCACGGAGAACTTGGTAGTACTATTCGATACACAAGAATATCTTTCTTTCATAGAGTGTCCTGAAAGCTTTTAACAGGTCTTTCTTTGAATCTTTTTATATCTAACCATTTTCTGTATGTTTAATTTTTCACAAAATGGTCGCTTTATATGCTAGATACATGTTCCTTTAGAACCGAAAGGCTCAGAGAATTACACTTGCTAATAATAAATATATACCGAACAGAAACACATTTTGTATCGATGTAGAAACAGGCAATGAAAAGAATGAAGGTGAAGAAAACAACTAATCAATGTCATTTCTGTGAAGTATCGAATCTGCACAATCAAATACAAAGAAAAGAGAATGTGGCCCATTAAAATCCATCGTCTATTGATATGAAAGTATTATCTTTTCTGAATCTACTAGGTAAATAATATGATCATGTCATATGGCTGTGGAATTTATTTCTTTCTGTAAATAGAAAGTCCTTCGTCAAAGCTTCATTTTACCAGATATAAAAATACTATTGAATGGTAGACGTCCACTTCGACAAACAATTCAATTCCAAATGCATAAGAATATTAATGACTGTCTTAGAAAAATGGTGCGCTAATCAAAGTATTAACACTGATGAACCTGTCAAAATGCTGAAATAAAACTCTGCTTATCGTCCCCTTTTCTCACAATGCAATTTTTCTGAACGTTTTTGAATTGTGTTCATATTTAATTTATCTTTTTATATGAACACGAGACAGCTCATTCAATTTCTAATTCTGTATTGCAACTTGACGTCAACCATTTGTTAAGTGTCAGTTGTCTTTTATGATCTAGTTAGTTTTTTGTACTTGTAGAGCAGACATCTTTCTTGGAAATTTTATTGATAAAAATAATACTGTCTGATTTTTCCCATGTAACATTCAACTTTAAAGACATATGGATATGCAGTGATGTTTGTAACTTCGATGAGCGTTTACATTTTATATTCTCTGCCTAATGATATTGCACACTTGACTAAAGATGCATCATCGATCACTAGAATGTCTAACATTTCATGATACGGTGTGGATATGGGTGTAGGTATCCGTGTTAGCATTATGAAGATTCTCACTCCGGCCCACACTACATTGATTCATACAGATACCCCACCACCCACGAACTCGTGGTAGAATTGGATTATCGAGTGAATAGTCGAGAGTCTACCATTTCTTTTCCTTTTTTTTTCTTAAATTCCAAAAAACACGTTACAGAAACACATCGTTTCCGCAGAAATTTGTTCCATGGATATTAGAGCGCGATGAACTGCTGCAATTATTACTTTAAATTATTTGACATAGATAGCTATTTCCATTAATTTACTAATAAATGAATCTTTGCTATTACAAATAGTATTATAATTAGTTTACATTCATTAAATATTGTTATTCTAGCTGATTCTAATGCAAAACACGATGATTTACGACATTTTACAATAAAGTCAAAAGGTGATCAACATTTAGCTTAGACCAAGGAGATTCACTTAGGATACACATTTCCAGCATGCAAAAAATTACTTTATTCATCTGTCACAATTCACTTAATTAGTTGAAATTAACATATTTATATTGATAGTAGTACATTTTTCTCATATATCAGTAGCAATCATTATCCGATTTTTATTGAATATACAAAAATCAACTCGACAATTCAGCATGAACAATAAAATTAAATAAATATACTGGCAAGTTTTTTGAGCCATATTAAATGCATCATGGAAACTTCTCAAAGAATTGTATAAATCATACTAGATGAATTGCAACATCTGTTATAATAAATCAAATTGTGATACATTATATAGACAGTAAACAACCAACTTCATTCAGATTTTACACCTGTCAGTTCGAATTTTCATCAGATGTACAATATTTTTAATAAAACCTTTATTCCAAAAGGAAGTAAGAAATTGATCTTACTTGTCTGAAGTCGTGAATTCAATTTTCACAAAATGAAATTAAACATTACAAAGCTCGGAAAGAGCATTTATTCTTATTTAAACTAGTATCCTCCATTACATCAATAGTCTAGTGCACAATCCAAATTACTAAACAACAAAATAATATTAATTATTTCAAATATTACTGATGATACTAGTATACATTTTCGCACAACCACTTAATCAATAATCTTATGTTTACAACAACATTTTATAGATCAGTTTTCTAGTTTTATTTCACAGCATGTAAATAGTACTGATCAAAAAGCAACTGCATTGTGGTATCAATTACTTCTTATAAACGACCAATCAATTAAACACTTTATGCAATACTGTGTTTCAAACTTTCTATTCGAGAACTCAAAACAATTATCGAATAGATTGTTAGTGAATCATAATTCTTCAAATTTAGATAGAATATCGAATGAAATATGAAACTTATTTCAATAAAATATTACAAAGTCTTATTAAGTTTATATAATGAGTTATTCTCAGCAAAAAAAAGTGCGTGAACTAAAATACTCATACTTCTTTTGCTTTAATGAAAGTCATAGTTCGTTGCCACTACCGTGATAATTGGAATCCGCTAATTAACTGTGTATTCTTAATAAAATAGAGAAAAAACTATTTTTATTTAAATCCAGCAAAAGGCTCATCAAGTAAAACATGCTCTCTCTTTAATAGCATAGTTCAAAAAGATATTGGACAACAGTGACACACTTTCAAAGTCTTCTACAATAAATTAAGCAACCAACAACATACAACAATGTATTAAGTGTAGAGTACATTGATTTTCTTCAAGTTGCTGATGACTAATAATAACAAAGTCTTTACTTAAATCCTCTTGCATTCGATGTTCACCAACGTAAATATATATTTGTAAAATTAAGAATTATTTGCTAGATAGAACTTGAGGATATTAATATCGATAGACATTTATCATCAAACATATACAGTAAATCAAAAATATTACAAAATAGTTGTTTCAGTAGTACAGTTTATATTATAAATAATAATGATCTATCACCTGTACTTTTAATGAATCCAGTCATTGATATTCCATTATTGAAGATCAGTCATTCATTATGTAGTGTTTCTGGTTACATCTTTCAAACAGCAACTGGTTGTTCTAGAAGCGAAAATAAAAAAAACAACTGTTGTCATTTTTTTAAATTGTAGCTCATCGTGACATAATGTAGTAAACTCAGTAAAATGTAAATCCACTATATATTATTCTGGTATTCAACCACCTAAATGCAATATAGTATATAAATTTCTATCAAATAGATAACCAAAATAATTTATAGATTTAGATTATAACACTCGGTACCAAACTTAGCTTCAACACTTTTATTACACGATGAATAGCAAAAGTGAAATCTACCCAAAATATCATCCATATTATGTATCGACAATACTGTAAATTTTTATTCGTTGAAATATTTGTGACCACCTATCACTATGGTTTCGAATTTAAATGTTATTTGTAAAATTGAAAAGTGACAATGACTCTAACAGTTTTATTAAAAAATGTCTCCAAATTGAATGTTGCTTCTCTCATACATAAAATTTTCAACTATATGAGCATCTTCATTTTCCTACACTCTACTGTGGATTCTACCATAATTTTCAAACATTCCACATCAAAACTCGCATTCACACTTCAAAGACACATGAATGCCTCATCCACTTGTTGGCAGTTCAGGGAAACATCTAATGATATTTTATTGCAAAGCACAACCTCTTTTGGAAAGATAATTTGAATAACATTCTTAATGGTAAAATCAAACAATTAAAATGTTATTCGCAGTATAAACATTTAAAAGAAACTCAAAATGGGATTAAAATTGATTATTTTTGATAAATAATCTATTATAATGGCATTATTTTAATCTGATTTTTCAGCTCTAGAGATGTGTGTCATTTGATTTTGATCTATTTTAATCGATTATGTAAATAAAAACAACTACAACTGATTATTCAAATAGATTTTAATTGATTAAAGATAGCTAACCGGTTAAAAAAAGATTTAAATCAAACGAAATCTGTTTCTAGAGCTGAAAAATCTGATGAAAATCAGATAGAAATAGTGCCATTACAATAGATTTTAATTTGGTTTTGAGCCGGTTTTTAACATGAGTAGTATCTCGTACATCAAAAACATCTACTACAGCTCTTTAAATGAAAAAAAAAAAAAAGTTTAAATGATTGATAGATGCATTAGATTTTTATATCGCACCATAAACAGAAATGATCTAGAAAGAGTTTTTTTTTAACCTTCCAGTGGTGTGACTAATGAATTAGATTTCTACTCATCAACTTCAAAAGTTTTTGATGAAGTTAATTATACCATAGAATGAATAGCTAATTTACTCGTGGTATAAGTATATACTTCTAAAAATAGCAGAATAATTACTAAATCTAAAGAAAAACAACAATAACAGTATACCGCCTTCTGCTTTTTTATCAAAAAAATTAGTATACCTTTGTTCTTACCAAGCATTTTTGTATAACTCTACTGATAAAAAATTACAGATGAAGAACAAGTTTTTTTTGATAGATCATCTGCTTATATTTCTTGATTTTGATAGGACAGCAGACCAAATAGATTCATACATCATCATCAAAATCTAGTAACCATATCTATAATACTATTCTTAAAAAAAACAGTTTTAGAGAACTATTCTTTTATACAATGACAACTAATACCACCATACCCACAATAACAGTCAATACTCAATCAACCGAAGAATTGATTGTTGCTTATTATTCGTTAATTTTGATCATTGTGGGAACTTTATTCAATATTATAACATTCATTATTCTTTGCCGATCAACATTTAGAAATACTAAAACAAGACCAACACTTCATTATATGCGTGCAATGGCCATCTTTGATATTCTAATGTTATATGGATGGAATCTCGATCATTATCTCACAAGCATATATCAGTTTCATATTCTACGCTATTCCATAATATCCTGCAGATTTATTTCATTTCTCAGCTATTTTTCACCTCAATCATCAGCTTGGCTTCGTGTCTTTGTCTCTCTTGATCGATACTTATCATTGAGTCGTCTTCATCGAACATGGTTCGGTCAATCGAAAAATGTTCTTATTATAATTGCATGCATCATTGGTGTTCTTCTTCTTCTCAACTTTCATTTTTTTCTTTTTGTTTGCTATTATAGAACAAATGGTACAATTAGTGCTTTATCTTGGCTGTATGATATCTATCCACTATGGGATTACATTAATTTAGGAGTGTACAATTGTGTACCATTTGTATTGATGGTTATATTCAATTGTGGTGTGATTTATCATTTACTTCGTCTTAGAAGTACGACAAGCATTCAAAATTCTCGAATTCAACATCGATCTATTTCAATTACATTGGTCATTACAACATCTCTCTTTTTATTTATGACTGTACCATCAACTGTAGCTTTTGCATTTTTTTCCTCATCAGATGTTGGTCTTTTACGATTCTTCGACTGTTTACTTTATTCACATCATATATTATCATTTCCGTTGTATATGATTACATTTGATGAATTTCGACAAGAATTTTTTGACATGCTTGCATGCAAGACAAATAATCGCAGAGTTACACCACAAGCACAAACTGGTACTGTAACACAGATATTCAATATAAGAAAACCTGTGACAAATACTTAAAAGCATTGTTTCATTCTTAATGCTTTTCATGATGAAATCAAACATTTCTTTATCGTACAAGTATATTTCTATGTAGTTTGCTTCTTGATGTACTAGTATTTCACTGCTTTATGTGTTTTTATACCGTACGCTGCCATCAAAATCCATTGTAATGTTCGTAACTGACAGTTAGTGATCTTATGAAAAATTATCTCAAATTTAAATGTGTATTGTATTTATTGTTCAATAAAATATTAATAAATTAAGACTAATTTCAAGTCGCAAATAACAGAAGATATTGATTGTGACAATACTCACACGGAGCATGTTGCTATACATGTTTGTTCGCAGGGTTGTAATCACTTATATCAAGGTATTTACGAGTTCGATAGCTGTCGACAAAAAATAATCATTTGTATTCTATACGATAGGTTTAGTCTTGTCGATCAACTTGCATCGATCGTTTGAAATTCTCGATTAAATCTGCAAAAAAACTGCCTTGCTCAATGAAAGAATTTGACCAATTAAAAATCATCACTTGTAATATAACCATCAACTAGCCAGTTGTTTCCACAAGAAATTTTTTTAATTACAATTCCACGAAAATATACAATGTAGAACTCGTGTAACCCTTGAAATTTCTAATAGTAATTACTTATATTTTAGTCTATTCCATTCCATATATGCTAGAAGTAAGAATTGTTTCACTCTGAACTGTAAGACTTCTCAATTCATCTAAAAATAAAACTGTGGATATGAAGTAAAAATAATCTACAAAGTTCAAGTTTAATAATAGTACCATTTCAAAATCTATTATATTATTGTTAAATAAGGCGTAACTATTACTAAGACTGAAGTTGATTATTTACTATGACAAAACTTGATTGTAATTAAAAGTCACAGCATTCATAGTTGAGCCAATGAATATTGTTATTGTTCTGACACTAGACAACATACAACAAGAATGTTGACGTGTATATATTTAAATAGATTGTAATTCATGATACTTCTCATTGCATATAGATCATTCAACTGTTAATAGAGATCATGGCATACTCCAATTTCCAAAAAATTCAAAATTTCCACATCATTTTATAATGGATAATGCAAACTAAGCGATACCAGTTCAATTACCTAAATTCAATATCGCGACATGTAACTAAAATCTATTTTTACATGAACAATTGAAGAAATACAATTCTTACTTTGGCATTAGATTAGACCAGGAATTTTTTTTTACAAGAAAAGCATACTAGATGGAAATGAATTTTCGTACTTAACTTAACCCACCACAATCCAAAATTACACATCAGTATCCGACATGAGTCAAATTTTTGTGACCCAATTCGAACTTTGATATCCATCACTTTTCTATTTCACTTACATCTGAAGTCAATAACGAAAAGTTGGTAAAGTAGCATAAAAGATCGTTTGATACATAACTTCTTGTTCTACTTATCTTTTCAACACTCTCTTATAAAACATTTACATGAAAAAAACATCCAGAATGTTTTTCGTATCTGTAAAATATTCAGACTACAGTTCCATATCGAAATTCAAAAATTATTGTGTGATCCAAATCGAATACTGCTATAAACATAGTTTCTATATTTGTTTGATAGCATAACCGATCTCATACATTTATGTTCGCAGTCATTTTATTTGGATTTTTCGAAAATAAGAACTTACCATTTAATGTGTTAAGATTCTTGCTTCATGTCACGAAATATGTACTGTATTACTAACGATTGTTAACAAACTCGATAATTTCGATGTACTATATTCATTCGTAGGAGTCAATCAAAAATTTGATGAATTAGTCTTTGATATGACTTTAGCACAATCTATTGATTTAGTGACATTGTCATCAAATAAAGATATGAAATCCAAAATTGATTCAATACTCAGTTAATTCTGTTTTTATATAATATCTCGAATTTAACACAATGTGGAAAGCTTCACTCTTGATCTAATGTCAACAGTTCATACTCATTGCATTAGCAATTAGTCTGAACTGCACATTATGATCTCAGATCACTGAAGAAAAAACATTGCCAACAAATCTAGGGTGTGGCTGTGAGTTATCTTTTTTAACCCACGCTTGATATTGTGAAGAAGAAAACAAACACAAATAATCAGAAACAATAATACAACTTGGGTTAATAGTTAAGAAACAAAAAGAGAAAACCAATACAGACAAATTACACGAGATCAAAAACAAAACGTAGAAAATAGAATTATCTTATCGTAGTGGTGGTGGAGGAGGTGGAGGAGGTGCTCTTGGCAATGGAGGTGTAAATGCAAGATTATTATTTTGATAATATTGTTGTTGATATGCATTTTGATAATACATAGCAGCATTATATTGATTCCATTGTTGCTGATTAGAATAATTTTGTTGTTGTTGAGAATTTGGCCATGATATTGGTGAAGCATTATTATTTGAATTTCCTCCATTTGTCATTAAAGCTGGAATATGTTGAGCTCGATAAGAATCACGTTCAATATATGATGAATAATTGTTATTTCGATTTGTTCCTCGTAAAAGATGATAACCATCGAATACATCGCTATTATTATAACGAGGACCTATTGAACTAAATGATGTATTGGATTGATTCGCTGGATTATTGAGTGGACTATTATTATTATTATTTTGATTAAATGACATTAATGAAGGAGAATTCTAAAAACGAAAGATAATGAAGAATTCAAATATAATTTACTAATCGCCTTAATTATCCTTAATTCTAAAAAATCATATATTGTACAAATTAGAACTTCTGTAGTTTTTTATTAAAATAAAAAAAGTAAGTAGGATTATCCTCAATTTTTAAGTTAATTGAATATTCGATCATAAGATAGATTTGAATAGAAAGTTACTGTTAAGATAATAAAATATATAACGTGTGATTCATAAATCATAGGATGCTTTGATTTTCTGTTTTTCAATAACGAAATCACTCTTAAAAAACATTATTCTAAGCTTATTCGATGGAGACTTCTTCACTATAGAAAAATGTATTCTACGTTTTTTAAATAAAATATTCTTGTCGAAGAAAAGTTGGTAAAGATCGAACGCTGTTTTATCGTCTCATTGTGATCTTCTGCTGTTTTCTGCCGACATCTAACGATTTTTTTAAGTTTATGCTCATTGTAAATGACTTAGCATTAATAGATAAAGCATTTTATGATCTATGCTTTCAAGATTATTTTAAGGCTCGCAAAGACATTATTCATGTACAAAAGCTTGAAACTAACATCTGGTGATGTTTTATATTGAATACGCTTTCGAAACTCCTGTCTTCAAATATTAACATGCTCTATGAACGCTTTATTATTATGTCATCAATGCGGAATTTAATTTTGAACAAACTAATGTAATTTTTTTCGAAAATTGCCCAAACATCGCAAGATGAACCATTTCATGACATATCTTACAGTATATTTCGAATTTTAGCGGAACTATTATTCAAACGTATGTATCATAATTGCAACAAAAAATTCTTTAACGAATGAAATTAGAATGATGTCTTCAAAGTACCCCATTCTTTATAAGCTACCTAGAATAACAAATATTGTATATTTGTGATGATATAAATTCTAATGCTTCTTTTTTGAAATTGACTAGCGACATATAGTTAAATTTATTAATAATGATAATCTTATCCTTACATAATTGCTGTTTGTATTCATTGAACCATTGCTATTAAATGAAACTGTACCAACTGTTGTAGTATTTCTATTACTATCTGTTGTTGATGAAGATGTTCCACCTGCAATAGCTAATGTAGGTCCAGTTGTTTTAGATCCAGTCATTAAACTTCGTTGATCATCTAACGATAAAGTATTTGTATTTGTATTTTTTTTACCCATTAATTCATTCATTAATGATTGATACTAAAATATAGAAATAAAAATACTTATAAAATATTTTTTTTTGTTTATTCTATCATAAAACTAACTTCACAATCAAGTTTTTGTTGTTCTTGTCGATTTCCACTGATTGAAAGTGAAGCATCAGAATTTAAGTCAGAATAAGTACCATCCGGCTTTTTACGGAATTTACAATCAGTTGTTAAGTGACCAGCTCCACCACAAATTGTACATATTATTGTATTTGTAACGATTTTTTCTGCTTCATTCATCAAATTTAGTTTACTATTAAAAACAAATGAAATATCAAAAATAATTTAATTGAAATAAATAAAAACTTACATAAGACAATCATTTTCACGCAATGTTCCATTAAGTAAAGCTAATTGTCGAAGTTGTTGTTTACGTAATTCATTTAATCCTTCTGGTGCATCAATGCTTTTACTTATTATTTCTTGAACCTGAAATATCAATTTTTTTTTCTTTTAGATTTATCGAACAACTTTTTTTTTTTTGTATTCACTTTTTCTACAGCTTTCGCAACGACTTCAAGGGAGCTACCAGTAATATAAGCATGTAATGGTTCATCTTCACCGGGCAATGGACCATGTTTGACTATACCCATTTTCCCATCTTTTACAGATCCTTTGCCTTGAAAAGAAAACCGTACTAGTTATAACTGAAAATCTATAGACAATACAATATATACCTCGAATAATAATTTTTGCATTAGTCTAAATGTATCCGAAATAGTTTATATAAAGGAACCAGTGAATAAACATACCTCTTTTTCTAACATTTTAAGTGTATTACCACGTGGTCCGATGATTAAACCAACAAAATTTACATCTGGATGATCTTCTTGTGGAATCATTACTTTATCCGTATATTTCATTTGTTGAGGTCTAAAGAAATTTCATGTTAATAAGATAAAAATATCTCATCTATGATAAATATGTAACAAAATTCTAAGAATAATATCATATGACTTTTATCAAATAAATAATTTATCAATTAAACGATACTAACTTATAATCTCCTGGAGGTTTATAATCTGGATTCAGTGCAATTAATTCTGTAATAAATTGATGACGTTGATCTTCAATTTTACGTCTTGTACGAACTTCACGAGTATTTTGTCGTTTTCCCTGTTGATCGTAAATTGGCTCAGGTGATGGAGATCTAAAATAATTAATAAATATTTTTCTTTCATTTTTGTATACATGAAAAAATGGCGCAATCTATTGTTTAGGAATACAGCACTAGAATATAGAATAAGAGAAAACAAAGATTAGTTTCTAACTTGTTTGCAAAATGATAAGACTGAGATTTATTCTGAATATAAATATTTTTTTTTTTGTTCGATTTTATTTTCTCACCTTTCACTCGATTCAATTTTGATATATGGTCAATGTCACATATACCCAGGACGATAATAAGAGAAAAGCAAGACCATTTTATTACTAGAGAAAAATTAACAATGAAATAGAGGGTGTTATTTCTGTGTAGATCTTGTATATTAGAAGATTATTTGTAGCACTAAATAAAAAAAGAATATAAACCAAACAAAACAAAACTCAAAAGAAAAAAAAAAAACTAAACTGGAAAAAAAAAGGGAGAGAGGGAAAGCCTTATAGAAAATTAAACGAATATGCAACAAATTTAACCTGTTTTCAGGATTGGATGAAGTATATAAATCATTCATTTTTAAACGACGTGTTAATTCTTCAATTTGTAATTGTACTAAATGAAGAAAAGAAAACAAGGTAACATCAATTTTATAAATAAAAATAAAAGAATCATTTACAAATATAAATTTTTTGTTGTTCTTCTGTCATATTTGTCGTTGAAATTGTTGTTGGCATATTAGGTAGAAAAACTTTTTCAGTTTCATCACCCATCCAACGTCTTTTACGTCTTCTTTTAATTGGTGTATTAGAATTTGTTGAATCAGCTATACGAAAATTTTTTATAAATATTTTAAAATAAAATCAAAAATTTTTACCTGGTGATTCATCTCCTGTTGGTGTTTTTATTATTATTTCTTCTTCTTCTCGTAGTTCCACTTTCGGAGGAACAGATAATGGTACCATTACAGAAGGTAATGGTGAATTGTTAATAGAATTATTATCATTTCCCTTAGTTATTTCTTCTTTTTTATTTGAAATATTTAATGATACTGATGAATCTCTATCATTTGATTTTCGTGATCGTTTGTGACTTTTTTTATGTCTTTTCGAAGGACTTCGACTACGTGAACGAGAACCACGAGATGGCATACTAAATGATATAACAATAAGAAAGAGAGTAATCTATAAATACAGGAAATGTATTATCGAATCAATAAAATTACTAAAGAAAAAAAAAAAACATCAATGTCTAGCATTCATTCATTTGCTTGATTTCCTCTTTTCTTAAAAAAATATAATAGGTTGGACAAGTTGATTATTGTGGGGTCGCTACTATGCAGTATAACATTTCCTTATCAAACATTTTAAACTTGTTGAACAAAAATCAGTAAGGATTTTGTAAGATTTAAAGAAAATGTTTATATGAATATTTCTTAATGAGATTATTTTGATTCATAGTAAGATGATTCAACAAACAATACGCATTAACCTATAAATAATTTTTTTATTAGATAAATTTTTTTGATATAATATTCACGTTTGTTTTTCTTGTTTATTAATTTTAAAATTATTTTGTATTTTAACTTAATCTATTTTTAAAAAAATCACGGACTAGGATAATTTTGTGGCGCCGTCTACAAAGACATGTTGAATCTACATTTTCTGCTGACAGAGTGAGTCAAACTCAATATAGATACGAAATTAATAAATAGGAAAAATAAGTGAAAAAATTTATTCAATAAATATTACTATGAATTTGTTTTCTAAAACAACAAAGAATACGTTGGAAATATTAAATAAAATTTTTTAAATTAGTTTCTGATCGTGCAAGCTTGATAACGTTATTGATGATGACGAGAACAATCATATAAATCTCATACTAATCAAAATTTGCCTACAGAACGATGAAGTCATCCTATTTTTTAATGTTTTGTTTTGATCAATTTAATGTAAAAAGAAACGAACTAAATGTCTAGTGTAACAGATATAAGTAATAAAACAGAGCATACTTCTTTTGTGAAAAATATGACAAAACAAATCATTATCACTTAATTTTCTGGTTAAGACCATGTTGAATTATGAAATATACATGACATATCTACCATCACATGATAATAAAAATTTCAATAAGTTAGATAAGGAGAGAAACTAAATGTCGAAAATGAAAATGTCAAAAAGTATAAATCTTTGTAAATCCTTGGTAAAAAAAAAACTTTTTTAAAGTTTTAATCAATAGAATGTAATATGGCACGCATGCACACAGCACAACAGTGAAGATGAAATCTGTGACTAAAAAGGATTTGAATTTTTGACATTCTGCTTTCGATATTTAACTACTAAATCGTTAGATATAAATTAATAGTAACTATATATATTTGATTCCTTGAGTTAACTTCATTTGAACTTTTTTCTAATGAAACAAGTATTTTGTACGATTGTTGGCAATGCGTGGTTGCTACTGAAAATGATCACATTGAATAACTGCAGTATTTCTTATCATATGGTTTCATAAAATATGAATTGCATGAACTTTTCGGACAAGTACATAAAAGTTTTTAGTTCTTGTTTTCTTTGTCTGGTATTTCTGTATCAAAATCAATAGATGCATTGTCGAGTTCATCTCATTCATCACCAGCGAAACGCTAGATCGCTTTTGTTAGCACAAATGAAAAAAGATTAATATCAATGGTAAAAAATTTGTCGAAATGTAAATGCAAAGAATGGTGTGTTTATGAATGAATTACTCGAAGTCTACACTTAAAAATGAATGTTGGTCATCCTTATCGAAAACTGCTTAAGTAAAATAACGATTTTGCAGGTATTCAATAAAAGATATGCAAGAGCAATTACTTAAATGTAAGTCAAAGTAAGTATACATGTATTATTATTCTGACTGCATTTTCAAATTAAGTTGTTCAGATTTTCAACAGAGCTCAACTCTTTTTTGAGAGCTTACGAACAGCGAAGCACTAAAACTTTATTTTCACCGCAAAACGCTGTCAGCATATTATCGACAGTATTTTTCGATCAAAGTTGAATGATTAATCACCAACGAAAAAGTTTCAATTATTGGGGTGGAGAAGTCTGGCAAGACCTACTTGACAAAGAATGTGTTTGGGTTCAAGTTCGTAATTTTGCGATCGATAGTGCGTGAGTAAGTTAGCAGTAGACTGTAGGAATGGACAAAGATGGATGAGAATTATGCTCTGTGCTGTGTGTAATAGATGAAATGTTTTCTGCAAAAAAAGGTACAGGTTCTTTTTTATCATTCTTGGTGCTCCTATGGTCTATAAAGGCTTATTGATTATTCAATGCACTGAATATTGATACTACTTGCATGTTTATTGCGTTCTCTTCATCGAAGATGGAAATTTTGACTTTAGCAACTCCTCTAGTACGTCCAATTGAACTATGAACAATGCTCAAGAGTGTTCAAACGTCAAGCAGACGTTGGCTTCAAATTAGAAAGAAGCAAAAGCTGTTTTTTTTTGTAATGTAAGACAGATTGCAAAAATTCTCAACAGTTTTGTCTCATATTGATTATTGTTGCTAAGATTAATGTCAATGTTCACATAATGAAAATGATCTTTCAAACAGGAATTCATTATTTCGTGAAATAAAATATTTTCTTTCATCCATTAATTTATTACGATGGTCTTTCGCTTGCTTCATGCTCATAGGAAAATCAATATAATCCATTATTTTGTCCATAACTACCAATGGTAGTGTATTAAATGGAGATATTGATCGTATAATATTAACAAACCAAGGAGTTTGTTGCGGTGGAACATTGGCTGTGGATAATATTCAAACCGTTGGATTAACCAAAAAAATACCAAAATTTTACGTTGGTCCTCTTGGGTTGGATCTTTCCATTGAAATGGTGCAACACGATGTTGATAAATATTTGGAAATACAATACAACGATTTTCTTGGGTAATTCAATGCTTGATTCAACGGTGTTTCATCACGTAAACTATAAACATATGTATATCACTATTATCCTCATTCGTTAGTGGGTAACGCAGTTCACTTATTAAAGTTCGAAATTGTAAATCTGCTTGTGTGATATTAGAACTAGAATAATAATAAATGCCTGTAGCAACAATACGTTCATTTTTCATTCCTTCAACATGCCAAACACCACCAGGATATTTGAAATTATCCAGTGTCATTATAATATTTGCTAATTTAACAATCATTTGCAATTTTCGTCCACGTAAATCAATACTCTTTGTTGTTGGTGATGGCATATGAAATTCTTCGACATCAGGTAGATTCGAATCATCATATGATTGATAAGGATCGAAAAGGATTCGATGTGGTTTAGATCGAAAATGAATTAAATCTGTCAAAGCTTTGTTAAAAAGAGGTATAAAACGTTCGTATATTTGTTCAATGACTTGATATAATTTTTAATGTTCAATTGGATGTAAGTTATTGATATATGATTTAATTGTAACTTGACCGTCTTTTGAAATATCAAAGTCGACTGGTAACCATTGGTATGTATCCGATCGAGTATAATCATCCCAGAAAAAATCATCTGAGAAAAAAATCAACGCAGATATCTTGTCGTTTTCTTTTTGGAGAGGATATTTCTTCATTGATGTCAAGAATTTGACCATCACCAATATGTTCAAGAGCATTATCTGCATTCACAATACGTTCCTTATCATTGATTATTCTTGTTACTTGATTAACAAAACAAAATAAAGATGGATGAACTAGATCTAATATTTGTTTATTCGTGCCAGGATACCAATCTTTTTCGCTTTCTAATACATTCTCCAAACGACTTACACGTGCAATCAATGATTCTTTGATATCGATCGGTATCAATTCATCACTTTGCCATACATCATCAACCGAAGACATTTTTCCATCGATCCATCTCGTATTGAATCATAATATTCTAATTCAACTAAAATATAATCGATTTGTTTTTCTGTAAGTAAATGTTGTTCTAAAGCTTTGTGTTTCCATTTATTTCGTATTGTTTCATCTTTCATTTTTTAATACCATTCTGGTTTCATTCGAATAGTACCACTCAACCGCATCATTGACAATTCCACTAATGTTTTTGGGTTCATAGCCTCAAAGAGGTGTACCACTGAAAAATGGATGAGGATATCGTTCTAAATCAGTATTTTCACTTATTGAATCAACTTCTGATGTTTCTTCACTTAGCTCTGAAACAGTTCCTTTTATTTAATTTACATTATCGTCTGGAACATGTATTTTTATCACGGTTCACAGATTTTGCAAGAAAAAAAAAATTTTTCATGACCGCATTTGTTCCATGTGTTAGCCATAATAGACTCCTACTCGTTCTCTCTTTCTCCTCTGGTTCTTGCTTTCTGTACGTTGTCTCATCGAATATTTCTCACATTATCATACCTTACCGCTCTCGCTTAATTTTCGTTGTTTTGTGATGCATGCTTGATATACCAAGGTATGGGAGTGGAGTTTTTTGGCGATGCAACGTTGTTGCAAATAATTCCTTAGTGTTTATTTTATGTTTCAGATATGTCGAACATTAAGCATTGAGCAGTCATTAAGTTTTTTTTAGTCGAAAAGGACTGAATGCCACAGAAGTCACTTAGGAACTGGAAAAGTTTTTGAGGGCTCTACTCCAGCGTACCACACCGTTGCAAAGTGTATGGCTTTAAAGATGAGTCGAGAAGTGATGATCCAGCGATAACAATCACCGATGAAAAGATTGAAGCCATGAAACGTATTATAATGCACGATCGACAAGTCTCTGCCCGCCGTGTAACAGATAAGTTGGATATTCCAAAAACTATAGCTCATGAAATCATGAGCACAATCAGTTGAGCATGTGCAAGTTCTATATACATTAGATTCTAAAATTCTTGACTTCACTTCAACGCGCCAACCTATTGGAATGTTGTCTGGATCTATTGCAGGATGATGAACTGAATTCAGCCAACTTTTTCGATACCAAAATAACAAAAATCAACTCAAATCCATCAACAACGTTCAGTTGATAAGGTCATGCTGGTCATTTTCTGAGACAACGATGGCGTGTTACTCATCGACTACCTGTTTCATGGAAAAGGAAATCAATGATTCCTATTAACATCATTCATCAAACGGCTACGTGTTGTCACCATAGACGAACACCAAGGAAGAATCAGTTATGGAGTACGGCTTCTTCATGACCACGTACCAGCTCACAAGTGCAATATTGCACAGGCTGTCATTCGCCAGACGGCCTTTGTCAAGATGAATTATCCTTGCTATTCTTCGTGTACTACACCTTTTGGCTAACAAATGTCCCTACAAATGAAGAAATTTCTTTGTACCAAGAGTTTGCCGCTAATGATAAAGTTTTGAAATTCTAATTTTCATTTCTGCTCAACTATAGTCTACTTGAGAATATTTTACTTATTTAAGTTTTAAATCGATTAATGAAAACAAAAAAACAATAGTGGTCCCATGATAGAAATAGTCTTATTCATTCGAGCTCATTACCTATATTTTCAAAATTGATACAGATATTGTTTCTTTAATGCATAGCATTCATTAAATTGATCATTGGTTGTGGAAAGCAGACTACTAATTATACAAATAGTCTCACAAACCAAAAGCATTAAAAAAAACCAAATTTAGATGCTTTCTTTCAATTGTCATGTTATTTTTATTGCATTCGAACCAATTTTAACAAGCCGTATCTATTGATATTCAGTATATGCAACGTACTGACAACAAATACTTGTGATACATCAAATCATAAAACCGTCTTTATCTTAAGAAAATAAATTTTCTATCATCATTACAAAACAGTACAGCCTATTAGTTTTATCAGCAGTTTATTTTATGACGCAAAAAACGCACAAGTTTCATCGTAAGCTTTGTATCTGATGTCCTCTTATTCCTTTTGCTTTTCAGAGAGAAAAATTTTGATTACTAACGCCACCTATTTAATATTACTCATATCAGAAGACATAAAAAAAAAACATATTACCCATTCGTATTCGTCATTAGTCAAAAGGTTTGCCCATGAGATAGTCGCTCATTGTTCGTCACCCGACAATTTGTCTTATTTATTGTTGATAATTCTCTTGGTGGTTTATCAAACCAACTGTTTTTCAATGTCAATAAATAATATAAAAAATTTTCTTGATTATTTTCAGAATGCGTAATAAATTACAAAATTAAAACAAAAAAATAACATATGAGTGACGATACGGGTAAATCACCCGTTGAACAAACTCAATCGCCTCCAGTAAATTCCGAAATAAAAATTTTTTATTATATTGATGATCAAGATCCTCCTTATTTAACAAAATTAAATCTAACCGAATTACCACGTTTAAAAGATTTTAAAAATGCTCTTGATCGTAATTGTACAAAATATAAATTTTTCTTTGCAACAAATGATCCATCAATTGGTAAAGTTAAAGAAGAAATAACTAATGATGAACAAATTTTACCATTTGATACACCAGATCGTATTTTTGCTTATCTTGTTTCAACCGAAGGTAGTACAACATCAAGTAGTGGTGGTGGTGGAGGAAATAAACAATCTAAACATCATCATCATCATCATGAACGTGATGATACAATGACAACATCAACAACAAATAGTTCATTTAATATACAACAACCACGTTTACAACGTATAAGTCGACGTTATGGATCAGCAAATAGTGCTGATTATCAAAAATATTTTCTTAAACAACAACGAGTTATTAATAATGATGTTACATCATTTCCAAATAGTGATATAGAATCAACAACATTTTTAGATGAAACTGAAGATGATAGGTTTGTTGAATTTCTTTTGAAAAAAATTGTTTTTTCTTTTTATAATATGAATTTTTATTGATTAGATGTTCAACTGTTACAGATTCAACAACAATGTCATCAAGATATCATGGTTATAATCGACCTCGTAGACGAAAACATCGATTACCATCTGGACTTGATCGAGTAATTTTTATTTTATCTGCTATATTGTTTGCTTTTATAAATTTATCTCGTTTCTCTCTATTTAGGCTTCATCTTTTAGTAGTCTTAATTCAGATTCAACCATGACATTAAATATAATAACGGTAACACTTAATTTAGGTATGTAATATTAATTTAATATTTTTTTTTTGTTTTTATTTGAAAAAATTTACAATGAATGATTTTATTTTTTGTTTAGATGCAGTCAATTTTTTGGGTATTAGTATTGTTGGTCAAAGCGATAAAACAGGTGCAAGTGATGGAGGAATTTATGTTGGATCAATAATGAAAGGGTAAAAATAATTTATTATATCAATAATATATAAAACTAAAGACATCAATTCGTTTTTGTTCAGAGGAGCAGTAGCTCAAGATGGTCGTATTGAGCCTGGCGATATGATTCTTCAAGTAAATGACATGAGTTTTGAAGGATTATCTAATGACGATGCTGTTAAAATTCTTCGTGAAGCTGTACAAAAACCAGGGTACAAGTTTTGTATATAAATCTATACATCTAAGTTTTCAATTACTTTTTCAATAATATAGACCTATAAAATTAGTAGTCGCTAAATGTTGGGATCCAACACCACGTGGTTATTTTACATTACCACGTCATGAACAAGCACGTCCTGTTGATCCATTATCATGGCTTGCACATACACAAGCAGTACAAAATACATATAATAATCCTCAGCATCAATTATTACTGCATCATCAACCGAATTTTAGACAATCAATACTTAATTCAACAGCAAATATGAATTCAACTATATCAAGTACAAGTAATACAATGCCCGATAACGAAAGTATGCAAATTTTCTTATTATTATCATTTATTTTATTGATAATTGAGTTTTGTTTTCTTTTTCTCTTCAAAAAAAAAAGATTGTGGTTATGATCTTAATTTAACTGTTAATTCGGATATGGATACAATTGTACGAGCTATGGCTGAACCTGATTCTGGTCTTGATATACGTGATCGCATATGGCTTAAAATACCGATTCCAAAATCATTTCTTGGTTAGAAAAGAAAAAAAAACAACTATTTTTTTATTAATTTAATTAATGAATAATATATATACGAATATCTAGGATCAGATTTGGTTAATTGGCTGTTTCAATATGTCGATGGATTTGTTAATCGAAATGATGCTAGAAAATATGCTTCATCAATGCTTAAAGCTGGTTATATTCGACATACAGTTCATAAATTGACATTTTCTGAACAGTGCTATTATATTTTCGGAGATCTTTATTCACAAGGTAGGATATTATGCACCATGAATAGATATAGAATTCATGTGTAAACAGAAGCAATACATGTATATATTAAATAGAAACTATTGAATGGTTTCTATTGACATAGATTTCGTTAGGAAGCAAAAAAAATGTTTCGTCACTATACATATATCCTACTTGATTTGAAGAAAAAAACTTGATCATGAAGACTTAGTTTTTCATAGGATAACGTAAATTTAGTAAAATATTCCTTCTTTTGCCTATCATTTACTCAACATATAAACTTTTAGTTTAATAATAACTTAAGTCTTTCATTATATTGATTATATCTTACAAGGATACTCCTACACAATTAATAAATAGCTTTTAAATTGAAGCCATATGCATTATGTAGATTCTAATGACCTATGAATACACTCAAAAGAAAGTTTTTGCCTTTAGCTTATTGTTACTGGCATATTACACTTTTAAGGTATTTTTCTAGTTGATGCCGTAGAGTGGTCCCTTTCAAAAACATTAGGAACACTGTTTTTCGAAATTTGGCTTGAAATTTTGCATAGAGTCAAGCTCTTACAAGAATAATTTATTGTGAGAGTTTCAGATCATTTCGTTGTTTCTAGCATAAGATACAGCTATGGAAAAGCTTGTGTTCTACACTGCTCATATATAACAGCAGGTTTGATGTTCTTGTTTCAGACAAGAAGCAAATCAAAAGAATACATTTTCATCTGAGTCTCCGTTCACCAATAAGTTTCTTCATCTTTAGAAGATCCTGAAAGTTTCAGCTAAAGCAGAAAATTCTTTCTTGTCATATTGAATATTGAAGAAAAGTTGGCTTTATACCTTTTTTGAATATTCACTATTTTGACAAAGAATCATCTATTTCGATCGGAATTTTGAAGGCATATCTATTTACGGGCAGCATTTCAAATAAAAATTCTTCTTTTTTTTTAATTTCTCTATCCATATGTGCCTTGCCACAAGCCAAAAGCTCGATAAAATGCTAGTAACTCCATAAGGAAGATGCCTGTAAAAAAAATTCTTGTACACTTTTTCTAATCTCACTGAGTCTTACTTAGACTTCGATCAATGATTAACACTTAAAAATATTTCCTCGTAATCTAGGCTTTTAATGTATAAGAAAAAGAAAGAGATTATATATGTATTTTTAGGCATATCTCAATTAACACTTGACGAAGAACCTGAAGAATACGAATCTGTTTCGGATCAAACAAGTACTGATCGTCGTAGTGGAGATTCATTAACAACACCACGACAAAATACTGTAACAACATTTGGTTTTGTTGATAAAAATAATGCTCCACTTCAATCACCTTCTCATTCTTTACTTACTGATACACATAATTCAGGTGAGATACATACAAGAAAAAAAACTCAAATCAATTAAAATTTTATTATTTTGCACAATATGTCCCATGCACTATCTGTATTATATCTAGTTATGTTAATGAAAAATTCTCATTGTCGACATTTTTCATGCTTGGATCCGACGATAATATGCAGCAATAATAATGATGACAATACTGTAAAAACATCTTCATCACCTGTTGAAGTTTAATTATATTATTATTATTATTATTCAACATTAGCCAGATGTCAACGATGGTGCTGCAAAAAAAAAGATATTATTTTCTCTGTTCATTTTTCTTTTTCTCTCTCTCTTTGTGTCACGAATATGTTTTTTTTTGCAATAAAAAAAAATCTCAATGCTTTTTTTTGTAGTCAAATATATTCTCATAATTATTATTTGTTTCAGGTTATGCTGGTGTTAAAGCATTTCCAGCATCACCAAATAGTAATGAAACTCGAAAATTACTTGATATACCTACTAAATTACGTGTCAGTCAAGAATCATTTCAACGTGCGATGACAAATCCAATACCACAAGAATTTTTTGTTGATGTTATGTAATTTGTCAGATGAATGTTTTCCTTTTTTTGTGTTTGTTTGTTTTACTGTATACAATTTTTATTATAGTCTTAGAAATATATAAATGTGTTTTGATTTTTCACACTTGTTTGGCACCGAAAATAATATATTAGTTTTGTCTTGTTTTGTTTATATAGATGTTTAGTACAAAAAATTCTTTACAACGTCGAACGGGTCGTTTTGGTGTTGGACGTTTTGAATATTTAAAACAATTATTAAATGAATATGAACATTCATTAACAAATAATGAAAATAAACTTCAAATACTTGCAAATTTTGCTAATTTTTCCTATGATCCAATCAATTATAATTATTTACGAGATTTAAATATAATTGATTTATTTCTTGATTGTTTACAAATGCATACAGATGATGATTTTGTACATTATGCATTAGCTGGTTTATGTAATATGAGTACAGATAAAATAAATAGTCAATTAATTATTGAAAAAAATCCATCAATCTTAATTTGTTTAATGAAATGTTTCATTTCAAATCGATTTGATATTGTTATGAATTCAATGGTAATATTAATGTTTTTATGTGATCATAATGAACCAATTAAAAATGAATTAATAAAACGAAATGAAATATGTCAATATTTAGAGAAATATTCACAATCAAAAGATATTAGATTATCAAACATGGCAAAATTATTTTTACAAGATTATTTTTTAATAAATTAAAAAATAAACAAATGGGTACTTCGTGTGTTTCTACCGGTGAAAATTGATCTGATAAATATGATTTTATGTATTTTGAAATTAGCTAAAACCAAAAAATATGATGTAATGAATAAGACATACGAACAAATTGATTTGTTTTTTTAATTAATTTGTGACTTTTCATTTATTCTACATTTCATCTAATATGATCTCTTATCTTCAGATATGGATGATATATTTGATGAAACCGGTGATGATCTCACAGTAGCTCGACATGATACTCAAATAATTGAAACAATTCGTTTTAAAGATGGTTTTCGTGAAGGATGGGAATCCAGTGAACAAGATGCATTTGAAAATGGTTTTATTCGTGGTTATTCTCTTATAGCATCACTTGTATATGATTATAATTTGGAAAAAGAACGTTTATATTTAAAACATCCTTCAAATTTATTATTAAAAAAAGAACTCGAACAATTTGATATTGAATTTCGATCAACTATTGCACAATTAAAAACTCCTGATGAAATTAATGAAGAACAACAAATTGAAACTGTTAAACGATTAAGAATACAATTTGATGAACTTCTTTTAAAATTAAAATTTGAATTAACATCAATTAAATCCGTATAATGTTTCGTGTATTTTTCTTTTTGTTTTAGATGTTTATTCATCTTTTCGTTTTCTATTTTTTAATCATTCCATCTATTGTTTATAGTCAATGTTATTCAACATTATCACGAACATGGATATGTAATGATAAATATAAATCAAATAATTTTACTTATCAAACAATTTTAAATGATCAACAATTAGAAAATTTCTTTTTAACTAATTATCAAACAGCAATATTTCGACTAGATAACTATCCGTTAACATTACGTTTATTAAATGCAAGTGGCAATCAATTTCAATCAATAATAATAACATCAAAAAATCGTTATAAATCAAAACTTCGTCAATTAATACTTGAATCAAATAATATTGAACAATTTAATATTGATACTATTGTTTTACCGAATTCATTAGAAAAAATTTCTTTAGCAAATAATAAATTAAAAATTATTGATGCACGTCTTTTTACTCATCTAAACAATTTAATTGAAATCGATTTAAGAAATAATCAATTGAAACGCATTTTACCAGATTTATTATTAAAGAAAAGTATTAAATTAAACAATAATCCACTCGAATGTCAATGTACTACAGACACATATAGAATTATGTGTGAAAAAGCAACAAATATTAAACAAATGACGGTAGGTCGAGAAAATAAAAAACCTAAACAATATCAACTCAGTCAACGTAGGATTAAGGGAACAGCACTCATCTGAAGATCGAGTTAGCCCTTCTGAAGCTTGTGGTTCTTGTGCCATGTACTGTATGTTTGTTCTGGCAACGTAAGATGTTCGATCTCCGGAAGAAAAAAACTGGAATAAAACACTGTGAAGAGCATTAAAAAAGTATTTGACTAAAACTCAAATTTATAAGAAGATGTCTAGGAAAACGTTTATATTAAGAAATTTTTCATGCATCAATAGACTTCATCAATTTTTTTTGGTAATCGTAAAACTTTTCGTTGAAAATATATTTAGATTGAAAGTAATAATTGTATGGCACCATATTATCATCCTTCTGCATATGATCCATTAATGCCAATATATTTTCGTTTTTCAACATTTATTCTTATTTGTCCAATAAGTTCTCAACCACCACCTATAATTATCTGGTCAACACCATTTGGTAATCTAACATCAATCAATTCAACTAGTATTGATTTATTATCATCAAATAATAATGATGAACCACTTTATGTTACACTAACAGTTTTAGCTGGTCCATTAACAGCTCGTACAGAACATACATTACATGCATTTAATGGAAGTCATTTATCTGTAACACATGCACGTGCTGCTTTACAACATCGCATATCATGTTCAGGTATAAATATGCTTGGTACATATACATTTGAATTTAATTTTGATATTCAAACTTATATGCAAAGTCGTGCGTTGTGGCAAATTATATATACAATGGGTTTTGGATTTTTTATGGCACTTGTTGCTGGTGCATTATGTGTTACATTAAAACGTACACATTATAATGGTGAAAATTTAAAAACTCCACCAATTTATCCAACAATGGCACCAAATAGTGCTGCACGTACACCACCAAATTTTGAACTTAATCAATGGTTATCATTAGCAGCAGCTAATATAAGTGGAACACTTGAACAAGTACGTGATAAACTTCGATTAGGTGTTCAACAAGTTAGTGAACATATGGGACAAACCATGGGTCGTGCAACAGAATTATTTAGTTATGGTGTACAACATGCTGGTGGAACTATTCGACAAGCTGCTGAAACGTAAGTTATAATCATCATTTAAAAATCCAAAAAAAAACGTGATTTTTGTTATTTAAAATTTTAAGTTCTGCTGCATATCTTCATTCATTTCGTGAAACAAGTCAACACCGTTTAAATACTATGCGTGTACAAACACTATCATCATTACGTAATCCAGGTCATTTAATGCGTGCTGGTATGAATATGCTTACAACACAAGTAAATTCTTTACGTGATTATTGTGGTGTAATCACTGGTCATCCACTTCCATCAAATTATGCGATTCAACAACAGCAACTTCATGATTTACAACATTCACCAGGACCAAGATCAAATTTACGTCATAATCAAGTATCAACTATAATTGAAGAAGATGAATCTATGGTTGAATCAACATCATTAATACCAACTATGTATCGTACACCTTATGTTGGACATACATCATCAATAATATCAGCTAATGCATCAGGCATTGGTCAACTTGAGACAGCTGATAATTCAGTATTATTAGCACTTAATAATTTTAATTCATTATCAACAAATAATATAATAGATAATGATAATTTAATAGCTCGAGGACAAATGAGTGCAGGTATTGGAACATTTCATGGTCATATACATGATAACGATGATGATCTTATTAATGAACCCGAACGATTAATTATCTACGGTGCGCAACGTCCAACTGGTTAAAAATATTACAGAAAAGCATTTCTTCATAGATCTTCTTTTTTTTATGCTGTCAGATTTTTCAAAAAAAAAAATTAACTTTAACTTTAACTTTAACTTTAACTTAAATCTTTTTTTTATTCTTGCAATCACAGTCATGCTTATTCAGTCACGAACGCTTGACATTGAAACATCTATTGTCTTGAAAAAAAATATATATAGACATATATTGAACAGTGATTAAAGCTTTGAATCCCATTTTCTTTTGTTTTTAACTTATTTTCAATTTTTGCTTGTATATAAAAATATATTTGCTAAATAAAGAAACAAAAAAAAATCGTACTTACATATTTTTAAAATCATTTTTTTCTTTTCTGTTTTCGCTTTCTTTCATTTCCAAATATTTTAGTATAATGAATGTTATCGATAATGTACGTCGTGCTTTTCGTTCAAAATATTCATTTGATATACAATCGACATGGTTACAAGCATGTCTTGCTTGGTTAGGTGACCAATTTCAATTAACAGAATTAACTAATAATTATACACTTGAAAAAATCTATAAGCAATGGCTTCATACAGATATTTCTCTTATTGCTGATGCATGTTATTTACCAAATGATTTAGATTTGAATGCAAAAAAAGTTCAATTAAGTGGAAAATATGCATTACAGGTAATTAATCTTTAATTATCTTTTTGTCTCTTCACAAAATTATTTATGACAGACGTATGGAAAGTTGTTTTTTTAGACTAAAGGTTCTTGTATTTTTCGACCGATTAAGAAGATCACCACAAAGTATTAAACATTGGCTTAGGATCAGAATAATGTACTTTTCCCGAATCTATGTTTATAATTTTTATAAAACTCATAGGTCAAGAGTTAAAAGCAAACATGTGAAATGCCTGAAAATAAAGTTTGGAGGGTTTTCCACGATTAATAAAGCATTCAGGGCACAAATGACATTTATTCTAAATCTATCAATAGAAAGAGCAAATATTCTTCTACCAAAGAATGTTCTGATTATCTGTTTTCTGTAAGATGTTAATCAACCATGAGAGTTGCAGTAAGAAATACAACCTTAGTCGAACTTTGTTTTTCATACCCATAAAGTATTTGAGTATCTTGAGCAAGAAAGTCATGTAATATGGACACATCTTGAGAACTGGACGAGTCAAGCACATGAACAAAAAGTGCCATTTGAGTTCACCATTCCTTGGATTTTTAGATTTACAAAGTGATCTCGTTTGGTTTAGGTTGATATTTACAAGACTCTCAGATCTTAGCTGACTTTATAGAGAATAGTTTCAACCTTTATGCTATGTAAAAATTTGCTAATAGAATGTATGCCATGAGGAACATCATTGTGAAGAAGGAAGTCTATTATCTAGATGCTGATCCAAAAAAAAATCAAAACATAATGGAATCAAGGAAAAGACAATAGAATTAAACGAAATAGGCGGTATTCTTATGAAGGTTACTAGAAAAATTATCGAACATCAGCATGAAATCCACTTCCAACGTGATACAGCTATACTCTTTGTCCAAACGAAAAGACTACAAAATTCTGATTTTAACTATATGCTAAATATTTGCTACTGAGCGTCTTAATAAGTCGAAAAAAAAAGAAATATTTTATTTAAAATCTTTCAGGATAACCTGCTATTATACACGGAAAAATAATGAATATTGAATAATCTTGAATTTTTTTTCCTACGTTATGTATCTTTTCTTGTAAACACTAAGTTCGATTTCTTATTACAGATCAACAGTATATCATGTATATCTGAATCATACTATAGTCAAGTTTTGGATATACATGGTGATCAAAATGAAAATGAACGAATCGATACAGATATAACTGAAACACAACAATGGAAAGTGAGTGAGTGGATTTTTTTTTGTTTATTGATTTAAATTTATAGAAAATATAATTTTTATTATAAATTATTTAGCCACCACCAACTAAACGTGTTCTCTATTTGGAATTAACGGATGGTAAAACAATTCTTCGTGGATTAGAATACGAAACAATTAGTGGTCTTGATCGTGATACAACATTACCAGGTGCAAAAGTAATCATGTTCTTCCTAATAATTGAAGTTTTTCATCATTGCTTAATTATTTCCTAGATTCTTGTAACTGGTCCTATACTTTTTCGTCGAGGAATGTTACTTTTAACACCTAAAAATACACAAATACTTGGTGGTTATGTTGAAAGTTTACTTGATAAAAATGCTTCTATTGAAACCGCATTACTTTCATTGTTAGTTTAATTAATTTTTATACATTAAAAAAAAAAATCATTGTTGAATTTTTTTTCATATAGATCAAAAACGGCATCAAAATTAGATGAAAGTCGAATGCGATTCAATCGATTAAATATCAAAGTTCATCCACCGATCGTTTCTAACAATGCAACAAATACAATAACTGATAGACCAATAAATCAAGATGTTAGTTTAAATAGTTACCAATGTATTCAAATTTTGTGTTCAAATTATTTAGGATTTTCATGAAGATGAAGATGAAATGGATGAATTCATTCGACAAGCATATGCTGATGGTATGCTTAATGATGATAGTCATATAGCTCCGGAACCTATTGAGCATAATCCTCTTCCTTCATCGTACAATACTGTTCAATCATCGACTACTAATAATAATAATCGAATTATAACATCAATCGATCAACCAGAAGAATTAATTTTAATTTCGGATGACGATGATGATTATAATCATTTGTTAAAAACAAACATTTCTCCAATAGAATCATCATTATTCGATACTGAAATATCAAATATTTCTTTTTCTGCACCTCCACCACCACCACGACCGGTACGACCTTTGGTTCCTAAAATATCTTTACCTTATACATATTTATCTCTTATTCGTCATCAAATACCACTATGGAATACAAGTTATCAAGATTTTATAATAAAAGGCTGTTTTTCATCACTTATTAAAACTACACGAATAATTAAAAATGAATATTATTTAGAAGCTTATCTTAATGATGGTAGTGATTGTTTACTTGTTCGAATAGCATCTGATCTTATTACTCAACATGTTGGTATAACTGCAGTAGAATTAAAAGTAAAACGACAGGAATATAAAAATGTTATCGATCAACAAAAATTTCAAACAGATATTAATCAACGTTTACAAAAATTTGCTGACGATATGAGAGTCGTACATGCCATAATAACAATAAGATTCTTTTCAGATAATGAAATACCAATGGTGCTTAAAGTTGATCAAAGCTAGTCAGATTTTTTTTTTCAATCAGTATATATTTATGTTCTTTTTGCTAATATATGAAACTCTTTATTTAAAAAATGGATAGAGTAATGATATAGAGATTTCTATTCTTTTTGTTCTTATTTCAGATGATAATCGACCAATTATCATCTTTCCCGAAGAAAATATAAAGTTTTCAAGTAAGTTAAAAACCAATATGTTGTCTTAGATAAAATGGATAATCGCTATAGGTGAATCTCAATAGTTTTCGAAAAAAAGATAATGAATAAAAAATTCATGTTTTTAAGAAGGAACTAACCCGCGAGTATTTTCAAGTTACAGTTTTGTATGAACATCGAAATAAGATCTCCATTAAACTAACAATAAATGACAAAGACTTCATCATGCCGTGTTGTATCCTCAATGAACGAACAAAACTACATGATACATTTTATAAAAAATGATCTGCAAAGGCTGTTGAAGTGTAGGAATCATAATTTGAACACCTATACCGCATCACAGATCCGAGGAGAAAACAACACGGACTTCTGTCTAAAAGTCTGCTGATTTCTCTGTCACACAGACCTTATATGAATAACGGCTCGTTATAAAAAAAATCAACTACTTCCTTATGGTATTTCTGGAGGATTAAGTAAAAGAATGGTAAAGAAATACATCCAAAAATAGATAGAATAAAACAACTTTCCTATGATTAGTAACAATAGCTACATTGTGTTCCATATTTTAATCCTACATGGATTATGCTAATAGCTTTTTGATCGAGAGCTTTCATACTTGATATTCAATAGATTTTATATTGTATTTTATCCTGCTTTGATCGGTTAATGTATTGTGATAGTCAAGTACATTAATATTCTAATGAAGAAAAAAAAATGCCACTATCTTGAAATGAAGAATAGTTCGTATTTATACGCTTTATTTTCTCGATTTTAAAAAATCGGAAAGCTAAAAAAAAACAAAAAAACTCGTAATCAACCTTTTTGTGATAGAAAAGTTCTTTTAAAAAAAAATGATCATATGTCACAAACAATATGTGATGAGCAGAAACTTTTATATTTTTATCTTATCTTATCAAAATCTATTTATAATTTTACAACAATGTTATAAATGACGAAATTCTTGAATTAATTGTTTCATTTTATCTAAAAAATCAACGGCTGAGATTTAGAGGATTAGGCTTATCTTATATTCATTTAGAAACAAAAAAAGAAATAAACAATTCAAGATCAATTAGACGATAATCATCATTTTAATAATCGTATGCAAACACCATTACCATCATCTCAATCAATAACAGTCAATTTGGATTCATCATATAAAATATCCACTGAACAACTTCATGTTCTACCAACAAGTAATATTTCAATATCATTTCGTTTTTTACGTCCTGGTGATCAATCGGAAGTAAAATCTCTTTGTTGTGATTGGTTTCCTATTGAATATCCTGATCTATGGTATGATGATATTGTACATGATCCAAAATATTTTGCTTTAGCTGCATGTGAAACAAATACACAACGAATAATTGGTTTAGTTGTTGCTGATATACTTCCATTAGGCAGTTGTAATCGTGAAGATCAACAAATTTTACATAAATCATTCTCATTAACAACACCAGTTTGTTATATACTAATATTAGGTGTTGAAAAAGAATATCGACGGCAAGGTTTAGCCGGTATTTTATTACAACATTTATTAAATACATTACATGAACGTGCAACATGCAAAGCTGTTTATTTACATGTTTTATATTCAAATAAACAAGCAATTAAATTTTATCAATCAAAACAATTTCAATATCGTGTACATTTACCACATTATTATTGTATAAAAGGTGATAATTTCGATGGTTACTGTTTTGCACTTTATATCAATGGTATATATATTTTATTTTCTTATTTTTTTTTAAATTTTGTTTTTTGTTTTAGGTGGTTATCCACCATTTACTCTAGGTGATTTCGTTTCTAATTGGTGGATCTATTTAATAGGAACAAATCCTTGTCGTTTAATTCAAACGTTTGGAAATTTTATCACAAATAGATTTATATTTACAGATAATCATCCACGTACATCATCTTACAAGCAAATATCACGAATTATTTGATCTTCATGACATATATATATATATAGATGTATACTCAAGTTATTTTTTGTCCAAATAATGTAATACAAAATAATTGGCAACAGAAAAAAATATTGAAGAAATGAACAAAAGTGTTTTGTTTTTTCTTTTGTATTTTTTTTCTTACAGTGATTAAAATTCATTTTGGTTTTATTTCTATAAAATCTATAGTAGATAATTTTTATAACAAATCAAAAAACAATTTTTTGTATCCTTTTCAATAGGATTCTAATTCCAGATTAATTGTAACAATGAAATGCCACCGGTGCAGGTCAGGAAATAATAAAAAATGCTTACGGTTGATTTGCTGCTATTCATTAAATATAGTAGAGCTTAGACGAGGACATCGTTTTTTTTTTCAGGTCATAATACTCTATTTTGGTCGTCTTCGAGAACTCACTGGCACATCAAGTGAAAAAATTGACTTTGATTCTTCAATTGCCTATACACAACAAACTATTCTTGATCATATTATTCAACATCGTCCAATGTAAAGAGGAAACAAAAAAAAAAATTAAATAGATTTTTATCACTTTTTTTTCTTTACATGACTTTTCCTTTTTTTCTAACATTTAGTTTAAAATCTTTTTTAACTACAAATTCTTTTCGCTTGGCTGTTAATCAACAATATCTACTGGAGACAGATTTAGTTAAATTCAGTGAACAAAGTGAAGTAGCACTTCTTCCACCGTTTGGTGGTGGTTAAAATAATAATGAACTACGTAAATCTTCAAACCGAGCCAATCAAACTAGACGAACTTTATAAAAGGGTTGTTGCGCCTTCGTGTGGTGCCGTTTCATCTTTTATTGGTTTGTATTGGTCTTATATTTACATAGATAGATATTGATGCATATTTTCGGTTCATTAATCGTTTTTGTTCGTGCATAGGCATTACACGAGATAATTTTGAAGGACGTCGAGTTTCTCGTCTTTCCTATGAAGCTTATGAACCAATGGCCTTACAAGAATTGAATCGTTTATGTGATGATGCTCGGCGACAATTTGCCAATATTGAACACATAGCAATTTGCCATCGCTTAGGGTTAGTATTTAATGATTAGTATTTAGAAGAGAAACAGAACAGAATGAAAGCATAGAATTAATGCTGAAAATGCTTCATACATTAAGATAAAATAAGAATCTATAGATCGATTAAAAATATAAGACTGTCATGAACTGATTCATTTTTTTGTTGAAAAATGTAATTTACTACCGTTCTCAATTAGTCAATAGTGAAACAGATTAGAAAAACAGATTTTTCTCTTTTATTTAATACACATAGTTTTTCTTTTGTATTTCTAAATATGTAGCGACGTGTCAATTAGTGATATATCCGTTGCTATTTACGTTTCGGGCCCTCATCGGCGTGATGTATTGGATGCCGTTTCCTTTCTCATCGAACAGCTCAAAACAAATGTTCCCATATGGAAAAAAGTAACGTTGCTCGTTTTTTTCTTCTTATTCGCTTTCTTCTTCGTTATATATATATACAAAGGCTCAATTCGATTATTTTATGTAGGAAATCTACGAAGATTATGAAGACAACAGCAATAACAACATGTCAACATCTTATTGTTGGAAAGAAAATAAATAAATTTTGTTTTTGTTGATATTTTTTTTTTGTTTTACTTTACATAAATACGAATACAAACATAGAGATAAACATGCTAAACAGTACTAATGGGTCTATTTCGACATGGTTCAGGATGGAGGGCGCCGAAAATATTTAATTCAAATAGGCACATTAGAGTTATGACAGAGAACCAAACAACAATAAGAAAAACGCCGTAAAATTTTGTTAAACGACATCGATTGACAAAAAATGTTATAAGAAATATAATAAGTGCAATGAACAAAACAATTGTTGAATATACTAAACCTCGTGAATGTATTTCAACAAAAAATGGTTCATTACTGCTTGATGACGCTGATAAATCATTATTTAAAACCGAAATAGAATCCGAAGAACTTGATGGTAATACTGCTATAGGTGAATCTCTTATTATTGATGCTGTTTCAAGTGGTGATGGTTGATGAGTAAAACGCATTAAATTTCGAAATAACCATGGTATACCTAAACCCATAAGAATATCGAATACATTTGAACCAATTGAGCCTGCAATAGCCATTTCAGGATGACCACGTCGTGTCATAACAATAGCTGAAAACATTTCTTCTATTGATGAACCAAATGCTAACACAGTTAAACCCATAATGCTATCTGGAATATTTAAAGTAAAACCAACAATAACTACAAGCCATACAAGAAGATAAGCAAGACCGGCAACCTAGATTAGAATATACATATTTAAAAAAAAAGAATCGAAAGCAAGTACTCTCTCTCTCTCTCTCCTTTTGAATATTTACTAACCCAAATCGTTGACATGACAAATGTAAGCATGTAATAATTATGAAAAACTTCTTTTCGACAATCAGGTATTGTTATATGCATAAGTAAACGTACCGGATACATCAATACCCATTTTAATATTTTATATCTTTTTGTTGGTAACTTCAATGGATCAAAGATTTCTGTTGCATTAGCAACAATATGTTGATTATCAGGAGTTTCTTTAAGCCGTTTTTTACTTGGTTTATAAGGTGCACGTGGTTTTCTCTTATCATCACCAGGAACTCCTACTGTATGTATTGCTGCACTCATCATAATAGATTCTGAAACTGATCGACCACGTGTTGTTAAACTTTCTTCTAATTCAACACTATTACTATTTAATGCTTGTAATTGTTCTTGTGGATTTTGATTTAATGTAGATGCTTTTTTATTAGATGAGCTACCACGTATAAGACGTGATAAACGATCATTAAATTTTAAAATAGCCACATAAACAAAATAGAGTAAAACTAATGCCAATGCCTCATACCAATATACATGTTGATCATAAATAATTATATAAAGAACAGCAACCGCAATACAATAAAAACCTGCATCTCGCACAATTGGATATGCATCAAGTTCACATACAGTGGCCGAAATAAGTGCACATAGAGCAATAACAAAAAGAATGTTGAAAACGGCTGAACCGACAATAGTACCCACTTAGAACAAAACAAAAGAAAAACATGATATTATTAAATTTTTTAAAACTCTTCAATGACATAAAAGCTTGGATCGTTTTTTTTTTGCTTTATTTAATATGCATAAAATAACATTTCTTTTGTTTGTTCTCTATAGTTAAATTAAAAATTGATTATCGATCTAATTTAACTATATAATAGTATTTTTTTTTTACAAAATTGTTAATCGATATGTTAACGATGTTAAAGAGGTTAAAACTATTTAAATAAAAAAAAAGCAACTATTAACTTACAAGCAATATCCGATTTAACAAAGAAAACTCCAACGATCGATGTAAAAAACTCTGAAGCTGATGTTGCCAAAGCCATAAAAGTTGCACCAGCAACATCCTATTATTAGTGGTGTATTATAAAATAATGTGTGTATACGTGTCTAGGGATTGCAAAATACGTACTGGTGTTAAATTAAAATTGCAACTTATTCTTTCCAATGCTGATGCAAAGTAATCATCACAAACAATTTCAATTGCTGCAAATGAATATAGTATAAGAGCTATATAAACAAGTATACCACCGTGACGACGTTGTTCATTTGTAAAAAATAATGGTGGAAATTCATCAATGGATGCTGATTCACATTTATTTGTTGACTGTGCTGTTATTGTTGTTATTGTTGATGATATCCACTGTTTAGAGTTTGTTTTATTTATTGCAAGAGCATTTCTTGTTGAAAAAAATATTTGAAATATGGTCGTAAAAAGAACAATCAAAATGTATTGTCGTCGAATCATATTACTTGATAAAAGATATTTTAAATAGTGAAAATATAAATTATATTTTTCCTCATCTATTATGTCACAAAGAAAAAGAAGATCAATACATAAACCTTGGTGATAACTAGTTTAACAACTTTCAGATAGGAAGTACTTTATGACATGAATGACGTTATATTCATTTCATTTGTTCTTTTCTGTTGATCTCATAAAGAAAAAAAATTATTTTTAATTTAAGTTCTGTCATTCACATTTGGTCAAAAAAAAAGAAACAGACGACATAAAAACGACGACATTGAGAATAAAGATGGCAAACAAATATGAATTATTGAAAGAAAAAAAATATATAGATTTTCTCGACTTACCTGCTGTCAGTAAAGTTACCATGTTTCTTTTATAATTTTCTTCTCTCAATGGATTTAGCCACTTTTATTCTTACTTTTGACAAGTGCTCAATTGGCTGAGGATAAGAAAAGTACTTTTTTTCGTCTTATCTGACTCCTCCTCTTAGTAGGCTGTTATATTTACAAGCTACTTGGTCGTCTGCTCTAGCAAAGGATCACTATCACATCACTTATACATCATCAACCTCATCATCATCATCATCATCATCATCATTGTTGTCATCTTTATCAATGTCGCAATGACTAGAGAGCAAGAGAGACAGAATAAGAGCGACAGCGGTGGCTCTATATACACAGCGAACAAAATTATAATCATAATAAAAATGATTGTTTTTCCTTTTGCATTCCCGTTCTCTACAACTTTGGTCGCTACCCGTTTGTCGCTTGACGTTTCTCTCCCCCTTTCATCTCTCTCTTTCTGTCTCCTTTCTCGCTGTGTGACACCAGGAAGAAAAGGATAGCTAGCTACTAGGGTCTATTGTATGAGAGAATAAAACGACAGGCGACACAACGGGCGACGACGAGGCTACCAAGTCGGCTCTTCTTCTTCTTTTGCTTCTTCATTGCCTTCTTCTTCTCCTCCTTTTGTCGTATTTCTTTTCTTGCCACATAGCATTGGATACGAGCGAACAAGATCTATTGCTGATGTTTCTACTACCGGAGGCAAGAGCAAAGCAAGCATATGAGCATAATTTAAGTTAGCTCTTATGTTTCGAAATCAGAAATAGGAGAGTCTATAAAGAAAAAGAGAAAAAGCAGCAAGACAAACTAAAGTGATGAAAGCGTGTGAAGAGAGAGAGATAGCGTGAGTATGAAAAGAGATTAACTCTTCGTCCGGAAAATTCCATCAAAGGAGCTTAACAACAAACGTTAGTGTTGAAAAATGTTCGTATATCAAGAAGATATATTCTATATCACATCATATTATACTACATCATATTAAGATACACACGCGAACAGCTGCCAATGATCTATATTAGATTATCTTATAGTTTGTTTATTGCTATTGCATGTTGACACATATCTATAAGGAGTTTTTGTATGCTTAAAGTATCATGTAGTACGAATATTTTCTAATTAGTAAAGAGATACTTGTTAATATTGCTTATACTTTGTCATGAAAAATAAAAAGAAAACAACGAAAAGAATGTTAGTTTTTGTTATTGTGGTTATTTGTTGGTTATGGTAACATCTCGTGGGACACAGTCGGACCGTTCAATCAACTTAGCGCGTGCATTGCACACATATACATTCACATGTCATTTTGTGCATGCAACGATCGAATTGGATGCGTACATCCGCTTATCGCACTTTATTGTGTCACTTCTGTGTTCGTCAACCATGAAAAAAAAAGAAAGAAAAATAGAAGCATCAACTTGTCTATATTCGAAAACAAATACATGAAACGCCTTAACAAAAGCATCTACAATTGTTCATTCTTCCGAATCGGACCAATATAATCTAGATATATACTTGACTAGTATTGTCATAGAAGACTCACAAAAAGAACAAAACAAAAAAAATCAAAGTTTTGTTTATTATTTTTATATACAAAACAAAGATAGATGTAAGCATCTATTCTATATAATTCAATAAAAGATCTTTTATATATAGTTGATCATACCTTTATTTTTAAAACAACAGACCTATTTTCTAATATAATTATAATATATGCTAATAATGTAGTATTGCGAGAAAAACTCTATTGTAATAAGATCTAATAAGTCAAATTAGATGAACAAAATTTATTATTAGAGACACGTCTTTGTCAATTTTTTTCTTTTATATTTATTTAACCATCCTATTGCAATTTAGAAAGTGTACACTGTACTTAGAATGTATTAAGTGTAGTTTTTTTTCAATTTTTCTTAACATAGAGAAAAATAAATAATAGAGTAGCAAAATAACATAAAACGGCTTATTCTACTTGTTTTTAATTTATCAGCTAAAATGACAAACAAAAAAATGAATTATTTTAGCAGTGTATTTCTTGTCTATTTAACTTGAACTAAATGTCTTGTAAAGCATCATACCCTTGTTACATGTCTTTTTTTTTTGTGTGTTATTCTTTCTTTTTTTTTTCTGCGAGCAAAAAAAAACATTCAAAGTGTCAATCAAGATGATTCATTGTAATAAGAATAACTTACAATGTACTTTTTTTTTAAAGATTTCTATTTGAATATTTTCTATGTTTACAATAATCAATTGAATTTTCAATAAAAACAATTTATACTATCTCATCATGCTAAAAGAATACTAATAAAAGTCTATTGGGATTGTTCACAATAAAATTCTTAAATTGATTTTCGAATTTCAATTATATATGTATATATACCAAAATAGAAACTATTACTAAATGAAGTCGTCAAAAACATCCGAAAGAAAACAAGATAAATATTGATTATCTTGTAGACACCAATTCCCTAGTTATTAAGTAAAAAACCGTTCATCGATGTAGAAAAATTATGACTGCAAAGAAATTTCTTCTCGAACTCAAACGAAATACATACTATTGGGACTAAGATACTCAAATTAATCAGAATGTAGTTGACATGAACTTAAGATTCAGATTATAGTACTTCACAAAAATAATACTTATTTTTTGTTTTCGTTTTAAATATAATTTCTTATTCATAAGTAACATATCATTAATATGAACGTCAACCTACGTCTAAACCAAAGACAAGAACAACTTTAAGATAGTATTCAAATCAGTCTTTTTATATTCTCATCATTTCCATTTGAAATTCAATATGACTTGAACAAATGTTACGTATCGTATTTCATCGCAAAGAAAAGTCAAATTATCATAAAACATCGATTTGTCTTACTTATAATCACTTCCTTAGAAACAATAAATTTATGTAATAAAAAAAAAATACGTAAGAGTAAAAGAAAGAACAAGTTCTTGTTAGCAAAAAAACAGACTACAACTAGAAAAAAATAAGACATGATAACTATCATCTTCTCCGTAGTTCCAAGAAATGTTCTTTTTTAGACCATTCTACCCATCCAACTGGTTAATGGACTATTGGCTTGTGGAAATCCACCTGGAAAATTGAGATCAAGTCTTTTAATAGCTCGTCCTTGTGCACGAATAGCATAGAGTAAAGCCGCATATTGTATAAGTTTTTCTTCCCCACGGCTACAACGTATTGTACGTTCATATAAATTTGCTGCTTCTTCAAATTGATTTCTATATAAATAATTTCACATGAAATAAATCAAAAAAAAATAAAACTCATTGACATCTACCGATTGCATTTAAATATAGCAAACATCGTTAGAACAGTTTCATTTGATGGATCAAGTTCAAGAGCTCGTGTAAATAATTTTTCAGATTCATTGTTATTTGATGCACCAGTTGACATTAAACAATTACTAAAAATAGGATAAAATTCTAAAACAAAAAGTAGAACAATAAATAGTTTACATACGCTTTAAGTGCTATTAATGTTGGATTATCTGGAATTTCTTTATTAAATTTATACAAATATTCAAGTGCTTTATCTTTTCGATCATTATCCAAATAACACTAAAAGAAAAATTTGTTTTCTTTTTTAAATTTTATCAAAGTAATCTATTTACAGATATTAATGCAAGTGCATAATAAATATCTTGTTTGCATGTATCATAATATTCTTCAAAACTTGCTAAGGCTTGTTCAATACGTTCAGATTTACGTTCTTTTTTTCCTATTTTTGCATCATTAATCAATTTTTGATATTTAGCTCGAAGATTTGTTGGGGATATATTAAGTGCTTCAATGAAATCATTATGAGCTTCGAAATAATTTTCTAGTAAGGTTTTAATCTAAATATAGATATACATTTAAAAGAATTAAGTTAGAAACTCAAAAAATAAAAATAAAAGTAAAAATAAAACAAACCATGCCACGATGAACATAAGGTGTACATGCATTTGGATGGGTTTTAACACATTGATCATATTCATACATTGCTCCTTCTAGATCACGTTGATGAATTTTTGTATTAGCACGTTTTAATTTTCCAATTATTTTCATCTAAATATCTAAAGATTTATTAAAAACAATAGAAAAATATACAAACCATTTCTGTAGCATTTAGATCATTAATAACACTATTAAAATCAGCTAATGCTTCTATATAATTACCCATCAGTAAATAAAATGAACCACGAAGTAATAATGCATGTAATTTATATGGTGATAATATTGATAATTCAAGTTCTTGTGTACATAATGATGGTATATCAGTAAAACGACATTCATCATATGCTTGATAAGCACGTGCTAATGGACTATCTGGTTGTGTTGTACGAACTTCATTAATAAATATTGAAGATAAAACTGGATCATCTTCAAATTCATTTAATGATGTACGAACACTATCATTTGATAATTCTGCAGTACTCTTTAGAAAATAAAAAGCTAAAAAGAAATGAAAAACTAATCAAACTATTTCATCTTACTGTAGGCAATTTTTCAACATATTGTCTGGCAAGACTAGTAAGTACTTTGTCAGCGGCCATAATATATGATGGCTGATATGAATCAAGAAAACATAGAGTTGAATAATCTAAATAAATTATTGTTCATTATCACAATAAATTATAATGAAAACAAACCTTCAAGTGCCAATTCAAAATTATTAACTGTTTCAGCAGCACGTGCACGTCTTTGAATACATTTAATATATTTTGGATTAAGTTCAATAGCACGTGAACAATCTTCAATAACTTTATCATAAATTTTCTATAATCAGCAAAATGTTAGAATTGAGAAGAAAAATAGAATCTTATATACATACTAATGATTCCCATGCTGCAGCTCGATTTTGATAAAACTGTGAAAGTTCTTCAGTTGATTCAACTGGACAAGTGTTGATTGCTTCTGAAAAATAAAATATAAGACTAATAATGATAAAACAGATTAAGGATATCTTCCTTTCCAAAGAAGTACTTATCAGAAAAATTTGAAATGTTCAGGGCAAGTAAATCTTGACAAGTAAAACAAAAGTTGTCATATCGGATGGTGTCTTCTATGAGATCATTGGATTTACAATTACTCTAGTAAAAAGAAATATCCATCCCAATCAGTCTATAGGATAGGTGAAAAAAATTTCAGTTCGATTAGATGTACTAGGTTCGAGAAACAAGGACGGCTTTGCACTTTTTTTTAGTATGAACAGGTTGGTTTGAGAAAAACGCAAAACCATGTACGAATTTCGTTATTTCTATTACTTAAATTTGATTTTTGAATGTTTAAAAAAATGTACTCAGTAGATCACTACGGATTGAGACTAGATAATGACCACAAAAGAAAAACAAAAATTTTAGAACACGAAAGGCGGGACCAGGTATCTTTAACTAATAAAAAAAATCATTTACTTACGAGTATAAGCTTCAATAGCTTCATTAAATTTTTTTTCACGGTATTTAATATTTCCTTCATTTTTTAATTCAATTGCTAGAATTAAACGATCCTAAAGAATGGTTTGATAGTAATTTCAATTTGTAATATATACAAAATCAAACTCTTACTTTTGTTCGAGTTTTCGATGTTAAAACTGCATCACCACCAGCTTTAGTTGTTGATGATGTCGTTGTTGTTGCTGTTAAAGTTGTCGATGGTGTAGATAATGATGAACGTCTAATTGCTGATTTTTTAGCTTGACCTTGTTGTTGTCGATAAACTAAATAAGCAGCAACACAAACTGCTGTTGGTACTCCGATAACAAGTGCCCATTTAGTTAATCGTTTGCCTATATCATTTGTTGGACTAGATGTATTCACACTCGATGACGAACTTCCTGATACAGCTCGTAGAATCGATGCCATTGCAGGTCACTTATCGATGTTAATGAAAAACTAATCTATTTAGAGGAAGAAAAAATGTCTCGGTCGAACAAACGCGCTCAAAAGCCAAAACATGATAATTGTCTGGGGATTATATTGGCCTTTAAAGAAGCCAATTGAATTGATAATTAGAATGATTGGTTCGTTAGCGTTTGGCATTTATTTTCTGGTTTTAAATGATGATTTAAATCGAATATAAACAGCCATGAGATGTTCAATAGGAATATTGTCAAAAAATTCTTTCATTGGTTTTACGAGGTTAGAAACCAATAGGTAACAAAGCGAAATCTAGCGGTAGTTTTAATTTCAGAATGCGGAGGAACAATGCCTTACTTTTCACACAATGTTTGTTTGTTATATCAGCTTTAAAGCTTTGAATGTTGAACTAGACGTATAATAATAATTCGATATTAATTTTTATTCCTTTTCAAATTAACAACATCGATGATTAGTTCTTTTGGGTCTATGATATGATAGATATGTGGCAGTTTCAGATGAATAACCAAGTATTGACAATTACGAACATCAAAGGTCATAATTTGTCTATGTAATGTTTGAGCTTTTGTTGATATTGAAATAATTTCTGAATAAATATTTCTTAATCAGACATCACTTTTTGTGAATTGAAAGATGCTTATATATAGAAAGTCAATAGATGGAGCTGCCTACCTCTAGCTCACCAATTGATGAGCTGTCATATAAGTAAGTCTAGTATATATGAAAAGAGCCGATCACTAGATAGAGTTCTTCTCAGAAAAGCTGATAAACAGTATTTTATTTGATTGGACTTTTCAAGTTCATCGCAATGAGAGGTATTACATGTTTATACTAAACAGAAAAATATTCAATAATTGACACGAAAATTTGTCACAGACTCAATCATTTTAGATGCAGCCCAGTACAATTTAAATGCTCCAATAAAACTCGAAATAGAAAAAGATGTTCGTTTTCTCAGTCGATTTTCGATGAAGTGCAAGAAAATTAAAAGCAATGGTCAATGAAAATTCTCAACCCTTATGAAACTTTTTTATTCTTTCCGGCAAATTGTACCAAAACTAAATTGAATAGACCTAGAGTAACGTTGTGTGAACATGAATTTCTCTTTTATCAAATTATCTTTTCTTTTCTGATACTGAATATTGGACATCTGATAAACTATGAACGTATAATTAGTTTCCATAGTGCATTGTAAAACAAAACCTCATTCACTCAGTCTCATGACTACATAGATAGTGTGCAAAAATATTTTGCCCGCAAGATAAAGCTGTGGTTTAAACTAACATCGCCAACAAATTTTATATCAAATGAAAGTGTGTCGAATATGGAGCTCATCAATACTAAGTTGTGAAAGTGATAGCAATTTTTCATTGTTGAGTTCAATAAATTCCTAAAATTTAATGCTATATAAACAGAGTAAAATATCTTTTATGAATTATTTCAAAGTCGTTCTCAAATACAATGATGAATATAGTACTCAAATGGATACTTGATTTGGAAATATTGGAACATTAATCAAAACTGAAGTTGAAGAAAATGACTGTTAGTGATAGAACACAATTGTTTGGATGAAGAAACTCTACAGACAACATATTTCATATGTTTTGACAAACATGAAAAAAAATATTAGCCTATTTAGTAATATTTTATGTTCATATCGGTCTCATATTCGTACTGTAAAAACACTGATGGTCGTCATATTGATTGTTGATTATTTTCATCAAGTCTTAAAAAAACAAGTATTACTTTTTGACGTTCTTCATTTTAAATAAGATCTAGTTTGAACTACCTTATAAATGGAATTTTTATTCTGCTGATATGCCGCAAAATTTTAGCGATTTATTAAATTCAACATTGAAAAATTGTCATAAGCCTTGTATTGTATTTAGTATTGATGAATCCTATTTTTGACATGCTTTTACTTTGATACAGAATTCGTTGTTGATATTATTTGAAGTCACGACGTTACCCGCCGAGAGACATATTTTTACACATATTGTATAAGAAAATCTGATGTTAGTTCAGAAGATTTTAGTTTCAACAGACGAGCTAAAAGCAAAAAGGATGACTATGTGGGTCAATGATATGCATATGGAATTTTATTTATTCACATTTTTCCACATTTATTTATTTATCATCTAAGAAAAAATATGGATTACAAATGAAGATTACAGATCTTTTCTGTCAAACATAAATAAAAACAAGAATGTTTCTGTAGGAGTATAGCCAATTAGTTCTCTGTCTGATGCGTATTAATCTTGATCCAAAAGTATGTCCTACTAAACCATGATCTGTATTTAGAATTGACAATGGAAATTAGGTTTGATACGAGATCAAGAAATTAATATTGTATTGACTAAATACGAAATAATATCCTTACTTTTGTCATTTGCAAGAATGAAATATAAATCAACAAGCATCAAATACATGTAGTTTAGCATTCAGAGATATGCGTATACGCATTAAAAAAACTATATTAGATTGAGAAAGTCAACACTGCTAAAATAACGGTCCTAATATTTGATATAACAAGGCTAACAATCATTACTAGTACACATGGGACTGCCCGTCAAGATTTAGATGTTACTATATTAAACAAAAAAAAATGGGCTAATATTAACTGCTGAAAATGCAGCCGTTACAGCCTTGATACTAGTTGAAATAGTTATCAGAATTGCATCAACTCGTTGAATAACATATGTCATTGGTTGTCTGATAAGTAAAGAAAAAATAGAACATCCTATCCATCAATTACTAACAAAAAGGAACAACCGATATAGCTATTAAAGGTACAAAGGATGTTACACAAGGAAAAAAGGGATATCTATATATTTTATAGCTGAAGTTTAGTTAACAACAGTTATAATTTTTTTTGTTTGTATTTTTTCGAAAACAAGTCTCGAATTAACATTGACTAATATTCGAATTTTAATACGTTGTCTTTTCTTTTCAACGGTGAATTCAATTCAAAATATCCTATTGAAATAGTTACGCTTGATTCATAAACACATTGAACATACATTGTAATTCCATCTATTTTTTGATGTTATTCCGAAACCTATGAAAGTACAGCCTTAATTCAATAAAAATTAAATAAAGTAGTACTTGAACAATATATTTTATCTGTTGGTTTTTTTTTTAAAAAAACGCTTTTGTTTTATTCAACAAGTATCGATGTCTTCCCATAATTGTAATTTGATAACTTGATTTCTTTTTTCGTTTTTGTTCTATCAATAAATGTATAGGCTTGTCTAGTACATAATATTTTTAGCTAACAAAAGCAAATCCCACAAAAAGATAACTATTCACAAACAATAGATAGGTCAATTGTAATGATTACATGTTCATCATTAGACTGTCATTTATCCTACTTCTTTTTTTTTTCTCATTTTGTATATGAGGCTCAAGAAAAAAACAAAAAGAAGCTTGAATGTATTACACTCATGTTCTAATCTTTTTTTCTTTCTCAATTTACAATAATAATACGTATGTTTAATATCTTCGTTCATTTAATCGGTCTATACATCATCAACAAGTATTCATTCATTTGAAAATTACTTTATTTTTGCTTTTCATTCATCATCAATCATGCTATTTCCATTCGATGACAGTAAGTTAGATTTTATTGTACTCAATTCCAGATTTTAAAATCTAAAAAATAAAACGAAAAGAAAAACACATATTTTTTCTATTTCTTCGATCAAATTTGACATAAAAAAGGAATATATACTATATATTTTATAGATAAATGATGACGGTAAGTATACTCTAATAGATTGCTCACTATTAATATATCTCAACAAGCATTACTTGTCGACAGACTTCAATCAATTTATGTATTATAGAACACAGTATACTGTTGTATGAATATTACTAATAACCGATGATAGAGCAAGCACTGATGCATCAAGATCTTGTTTGTCTTCTTTATATTGATTGACGTTCACTCCATTTATTTTGTTTTGGCGTTTCTTCTTATGACATATTATGGTCTGTAGTATGACATCAACAAAAAATAACAAACAACACCCGCTGTTATACAAACTAATGTACCATACAATACTTGCCATTCTAATTCTGTGTGTTTTTCTTTTCCAGGCTTTTTAGTTTTGCATTGATAAATTACCATCCTTAGTCTATCCTCTCTCTGAAGCTTAGAATTGCTTTTCCAATTGATATATAAGTTAGGCTGTCTTAAAAAAAGGTTATACTACAAAAGACTACGGTAAGCTATTCTTACAACGATTAAATGTGATAATTATAATGCATTCAAATATACTCCTCCTTTCAAAATAGACAATAATATCTAATACTTTGAATGTCAATCTCGACATTGATAATTTTCAAAGGACACACGCACATAAATACACATTTATACAAAGATGTGTCGACTAAACGCATCTTCTTTTTTGTTTCATTTAATTATATAGATACCTTTGAAAAAAGAAAATGCGCGCTAGACTTTACATTAAGATACTAATCGATTGAGATCTTCATATAGCTTATTTCTATGGCTGAATCTTCAAACAAGAATTTCGTAAGCATTGTCAAATTTCAAACACTTGATAAAAGTGAGTTAGAAATAAAAAATGAGGAAATCTATCAATCAATAACGTTCGTTTGATGCACTATTATTGTAAAAAATCAATTATTCTTCTTTTGTCTATATTTTTTTGCTTTGTCAATAATTTATCAATTCACACTTTTCAATATTATTTTTACATATTCACACACTTATATACTTCTCAGTTTTCAATATGAATTGATCGATCCCTTTTTTTTTCTCGATGATATTTTTTTTTCTCCTGTTTCTTATTGGATATCATCAAGAAATATCATAGTAGCCTTGATATAAAACAGCAATTGTATAAACGCGTCAGAAGCAATATGGTGAACCTTACAATAGAGATAAGTTCTATAGATCGTTAATATCAAATAATAAATATATTGTAACACATTGTTGTGCATCAATTGAGTGAAGAAATAAAAGACAAGGAAAAAGAAAAGAAACAAGCTACCTCTTTCTCGTTTCTATTTTCTCTTCGCAATAACTACGACAACCAGTACGTACCTTCGCACATGCCAAGTATTTTGGTTTTTTTTGTCTTTCATTACAAAATATCATCACGTGCAAAACCTCATTCGTCTAACCTGAGATCAACTCTTCATCTAATAATATGAATAACGAAACAATAGTCGATGAGGATCATGAGAGCCAAACCCCATCATCATCATCATTATTACCGACGAATCAACATGCATCTCATTCTGAGCTTGTGACAAAAATTTATTATCCTGATACATTATATCCCGATAATTATTCATTTTTTGCAGATCGGGGCAATACACCATTATCAAGACCAAAATCCTCATTACCTATGGACACAACCATTCAATATCCAACTAATACTGTCGATCAAACAGATTCTCCAACAGTAATATCAACTGTATCTAAACAGGCAACAACTGAAATTGAGACTATTGAGCAACCAAGAAAATATTCCGTAAGTAATACTTGTTTATTTGATTATCTACATATATTTTGTTGTCAGCATTGACATTGGCGGTTTTTTGGTGGTTTTCTTTTTCTTTCTTTCATCGAGATATACATTAAAAAAAGAAAGTATTGTTTTCGACATTAACTTGCCGATGATAAAGAAAAGAATGCTACAACTCAATCATGCTGGCATGCATCAAAACCATTAGACAAGCCTATGCCAGCTGCGGTTGAAGGACAGAAATATGTAAAAAAAGATGCATTATCTTGAGTACCTATCCATTTCAATAGAAATCTTATCTTAAATTTACATTTAGTTTACTTTTGTCATAAAAAAAACAATATAGATATATAGTAAACGCAGCTTTAGGGCATTTAAAAACACCTTTTTTTGCTTTTCATTTTAATTATTGTTATCTAAATACAAGGTCTTTTATTTAAAGACAACTGAAACAGAGCAGTTAGTTGTTTATTTGTATAAATAGTATAATACATCTCGTTTGTTATTATTTTCAATCATCCATAAAAATAGAATCTAATGTCAATAATAGGACAAAAAAAAAATCTGAGAATAATAAATACATAAACGCAACTACTGAGTTACAACGATGACGTCTAGGTGTATACTTTCTTTTTTATTGTCATTTGACGAACATTTCTCTTTTCGTGACTTAATTTTAGTATATATGGGAGAAAAGAAAGAGAAATGAGATTAAATGCAACCAAAAACATACGAAAGAAAAAAAGAAAAAAAGTAAAAACAGGTAGATAGCGAACGCGTATCTCGCTGAAGCGCAACAACATGTATTCGAAACAAATGTTTTACATGTATGTTGTTCGTATATTTTAGAAGATATTTTATTTTCTCGATACTGTAGTAATGCTCTCTTCTCGATTTCACATATACATACGAAAAAATCAGCACCACAGATGTACGACTCGTTTTTTTTTCTTTTTTTTCCTGTTGATTGTCCTTCGTAAATGGCGCATATTTACACATTTTTTTTCTTTTGGCCCACATTATTCTTTGTAAGATTGATGCTGTTTTCTCCTGTACTTTGCTTCTGTCAGTATTACACCGATATGCATATTTTGTGATCGATCACAAAAAGGGTAATCGAGCTAGTAAGAAAAAGAGAAAATTATTGATGTCTCTCCTAACATAGACATTATTATCACGATGCCAGTTGTTGTTTGTGGTTTCTTGTTGTTTTTTTTCTTCTTTCTTTATTATTATTTTTGTTGTATTTGCTTACATAGTGAGCAGTAAAAGTAAAAAACAGTTAAGGTCGACGAAGAAGAAATCTGTTATTAATAACTTTTTTTAGTAATTTATCGATCAAATATATAGATAATAATTATTACGACGGTTTTCCTCGTCGATACGCATTATCGGTATAGTGAAAAGAGAAAATAAAAATGTCGGTAGATGATCAACAAGGTATCGAATTAGCACAGGTGAGTGTTGCTTTCGCTTTCTTTTTCTATCTACATACATCATTGTCTAATGTAATATCATACAACATATGAGTTTATTGTATTTTATTCATCATATTTTATTTTATAGTCTCCAATGATTGATCGAGAACGTGGTGAATCTGAATCTGAAAAGCGTCGATTCGATGTTAAGCGTTATGTACCAACAGCATTACGTGCTCAAGATAAAACTGTAAGAATTAATATTGAAGTGTTATTATTTGGAATGATTAAAATTTATGTTTCTGTTTTAGCAACCACCTGGTGTCTTGTTAGATCCTCGATTTTATTCAATGAAAAAGACAGCTATGACTATCATGTGTCTATTGGTAAGTGAGAAATAACAGTAGTGATTAGTTTTTCAAGTCTCTTAAATAAAGTTTAATGCTTGTTCTTTGAAACACATCATATATGTATAAATTTCTGAACATACTGTAAGATAACGGAGAAAAGTTTAATAACCGCATATATTTGCTTTTTTTTGCTATTATATTAAGCACCTACTTCATATGCAAATGGTTATTTTACTAGTCAATTGAGTTTTCTAGCTGATGTCTTCTATACTAGATGAACTATAATGTAAAATTTATAAGAAACAGAAGACTTTGTCACCGCTATTTTTTTAACAATATCATTTGATAGAGTACAGAATTCTGTACAAAAGGCGACGACAGTGGATTTTGTACTGTTTAAAATAGCATTATAAAAACATAGTCCCCAAAAAAGGCTTCTGGAATAAAAAAAAAGCTACTGTGCCCAGTTTTTTTTACAAATCTTGATAAAATATTTTCATCTATGAAATCTGCCTATCGGCTATGTATTTATTATTATAGAGAAAAAAAAGTTTCGTTTTCTTAACTTTCTCTTCCTACTTTCTAAATAGAATGAAAATATTTGATTGAATAATTCTAATATTTTTCAGATCATTTCGGCATGTATTTTATGCTGATCACGATCTTGCTATCAGCAATAGATATTCATCTGATTTTTTTTGTCATCTGTTGAATATGAAACAGTTGGATTTTTCACATCTACGTAGTAACATTTATAGTTACGATAGTATTATAGTATTAGCAAAAGAAAGTCTAGATGATGGTACTCTTTCGAATTACTTTATGATTAGCTAATATATCCAAACAATGACATTTGTTTTTTGCTAATGACTTTCTTGTCATAGTTGTAATCTTGCAATTTTCTAAACCCAAACAATTTTTACTTTTGAAAATCAGCAAGAGCAAATTTCTATATATTGAGTAGTTTTATATTAAAATAACTAACATATTTTCAATATTCGAAATACGTATACATCAAAAATGCTATATAAGAAGTTTAATTAGAGGAAATATTTTGCAATCACTTATCTTTATTATAACCGCAATATTTTTCGGTTTTCTTTTTAAATACCACAAATATGCATAGAACCGAGCCTGTTATTATAGCTTCATAGATAAGAAAATTTCAAGGTTGTGAATGTTTTTTTTTCGTATTATTGAACTTTTCGATTTGTTTCTTCAGCAGCGTGGCATAGGCTAATGTCAAAAGTGAGTGTCATTGCGTAGTCGAATCTCAAAAGGAGAAAAACACTGTATAAATAAGTTTCAAAATCAGAAATGAGGCGTTACACCTCACGCATTTCTTATTAGCTACGCTCTTGTGTTTCCTGTTTTATAAGTAACCTGGCAAAGCGATTGCAAGAAAAAAATGAAGTCAAACAAACATGACTATTTTTGTTTTTCTATTTCTTAGATTATCATCATGAGTAATAGTGTACAACTAAAACATGTTCTTAAACAAGGTCGTACACATGCATTCTATGGTACTCAAGTAACACTTGGCATTGTTTCGGTTCTCATGTGTGCTTCGATTGGTAAGTTTTCTTAATAGAGAAAGTGATTTGTTTTATTCAGAAGTTAAATTTTGTTATTCTTCTTTCGTGTCTGTCCTATGTTCAACATTTGTGATTTATCTTGTGTATTTGATAGTGTTTTTTTTTTTGTTTCATTTTTCTTGTAAAGAAAAGTTGTCGTTACAAAACTTACCTTCCCCGATTCTAGGCCTTGTTCAATTGTATTTGCTTTTGTTTACACGGCTCGACCATCTATCATCATCATCATCATTAGTGGCAAATTTAACATGTTATGATAGAATTCTTCTTTTACTTCCAGCTGCTATAACTATTCTTTTATTCGTATTTGATTTTATCTTTATAATTATAATGTTTCAATTTTAATATACATTTATGAGATTTTCCTTCTTTTTTTTCATACATTCCATTAGTTTTCTAACAATTTATTATGTAAATAATCCTTATTGAAAATAGCGTTTATTAGTTATTTGTATGTTTTATTGTTGGAGTTCTGATTAATTTTTTTCCTTATGTTCTAGGTGTGATTCTGATGTATGTGATGCGAATCGACTTAAATGATCAGTACAAACAGCATAAACTCGACTATATAGACAATTGTGTCTTCTGTCTTTTATTCATTCTTGCCATCTTTAATATTTTTATTACTGCGTGTAGTTAGTCTAATCATGTTATCCCCTTCTTCTTCTTTTTTTACTTTCTCTGCGTTATTGTTCATTTTTTTTCACTAACTGTATTTGTGAACAGTCTTATGTAGGATTTTAGAATGTTCCTTTTCCTTTTAATGTACGCACACTTATAAAAAAATTTTTCCTTTTTTTTTTCATGGTTTATGTTTAGGCACGATATAAACAAATTTTAATGAAAGAAAAAAAAACCAACAAACATTATGAGTGTTTATATTTGCTTGTTTTGTTTTATTCTTGCAGGTTTTTACCTTATGTATATGTTAACAATCAATGATCAAAATGCATACAAACAACGTAAAATTGATTTTTTACAAAACCTTGGCTTAATTTTTCTTTTTTCATTATTTATTCTTAATATTATTTATACAATATTCCATGCTATTTAATTATAATTCTAAAAAATGCGTACTTGTATATAATCGTAAAACATATACAAATACGAACATCATGTGTGGAGTAGTTGAAAGAGAAAAAAATTTCTTTTGCGGTAACTTATTTTTTTTTTGTTTTTGTAAGGAAAAATGCCTCTATTTAACCGGTTATATATTATATCAATTAGTCATATCTCCATTCTTGTTTGTTGTGAAATATATGTTTGTAGTACCCCTTTAAATATACTAATACCGAATGGATGTTATGTTTAAGTAGTTATTTTTTAGGAATACAATCAATATAATTCTATCATGTTCTTTTTTTGTATAAATCATCTAAAGACATGTATCTAAGTGAAAAATGAATAACTTCATTAATGTTTTATTATTTTTTTTGTAGAATTTCTAGTTATTCTCTAATAAATTATGAAACCGTTGAAGACAAGATCTAAAGAAAAATGATAAGTATGCCTATGTTATGAAGCATTTGATTAGGATTAATAGCCTTTGAAATAAACACATCTATAATGAAACAGTAGTAGATAATATGAGGATTCGAAATAGACTGTTTGGTCATACACAACTCAAAGAGATTTTTTCAAAGGAGCAAAAATGAAGCTTCAGTATTCCATAGTACGAACTTTCATGGATCGAGTGAATTCGAACATTATTTGTTTCTTCAAGAAAAATCAATGTTTGTCGTAACTAGGAATGATCAAGAGTTATTAGTATATGAGGATTATGTAAGTATCCATTGAGTAATGAATAAGCAAAAAATGGTTTTTCACTTAATGTATCTTGATGATAGACTAATATTAAGAATATTAGATATAATGAATCACTAAAAACGTTATAGGCAAAATATTCAGACGGCTATTTATTCTGCTGCATCCATTAACTAACTAGGAATATTTATAACAAAAGACAATTTGTACTGATTTATCATATTAGAAATATTATTTTCGAAAGCTTTTGAGAAATGACAAATTAAAATGTATTTATCATCTATATAATTGGTTAAAGAGCATCTCTAAATCATGTAATGAGTTTTGGACAAAGAAAAAAAGTTAGTTGTTATCGTTTCTTAACAACATTTATCTTTCCTGTCACTGAACGACATTGATGTTCTTCATTCTTTTTTTGCAATTGAAAGTGTCGGAAAAAACGTTACATTAGACTCTGCTTATTCTTTCTGCCATTTTAAAGATAAATATGAGTTAGAAACGGCTGTAATAATTTGATATTTCATCTTTCAACCAATAGAAATAACTGAGCTACTTTAATAAATGATATGACTCAGGCGTTGAAAATAAGAAGAACAGAAAAAAAGAACTCACCATGGAAACTCGTTGAGTAAACGTAGATCATGTTATGTATATTATTTCTTGTGGATAGATGTGAAACCTTGAAGAATCAAAACTTTTTTAACTTTTACTATGAGTGAGTTGATTACAAAACATTGTATTGTACTTGAACAATGGAAAGAAAGTAATCAATATCATCAAGATAGAGATGATATTTTAAATGATTTTCATACAGAATTAAGTCGTCTTCAATCATCAAATAGTATTACATTTCGTCAAGAAATAAATAAAGTTACAACATTATTACGCACTAATGTTATAAATCTTAATGAATCAATTTTAACATTTTTTCTTGATTATTTTATTCAATTATTGAAACAATGGCGTGATTTAATATATTTTAATGATTCAAACGATTCAGATATATTTGAAAATTTATCAATCATTTTAAAATATCATTCTGATGATTTGATGAATGAATTATTAGTTCAAGAATTTATTCAATGTCTTATCACAATTGCACGTATTGGAAAAGAAATGTTTACAAATCGAAATATCACAGTTATAACTCGTATGCTCAAGGCTTATACTGATATAGAGAGTTCTAATAAATCTCAATTTATGGAAGTGTCACAATTTGATGATAGTATAATAAAATGTCTGTACACACCATATACTATTGAAGTTTTTGCTCAATTTAAATTATCAGTTAAATCTGAAGAACGTACACCAACAGAAGATTTTGTATTTAATGGCTTGTTCGATCATGTTTCACTTATGAATAGAGAAAAACTTCAAGAACAAGCGCTTGATTTACGTAAACATTTACTTACATCAATAAGTGATTTACTTGATACATTTGAAATATCGCATGATGATTGGTCGGAATCAGCTGTTAAAATCTTTACAGATTTAACAACATTATTTCTCTATTCTGTACAAATGACTATAGTAAATGATATAGGTCTTGACGTACAAAAACATATTTGTGATACTGCTATTCGTATTCTTGTTATTCCAACATATCGATCAATGAAACTTAATAACAATTGTCTTCAATATATTTATATGGGAACATCAAATGACAAAATCTTAGATCATTTAAAAAGTCAAAAATTAACACCAACTATGTTTAATATAGCTAATTTGTTTAAAAATGAAGGAGAAATTCAATTTAATGTTTATCGAATATTAGCCGCGATTATGACCGAAGATGATATCAAACGGCTTGATGATCCGGGAGCTATAGCTAAAGTATTTCTTGATCATTTAACAGAGATAACAGATCGTTTAGGATGGGAAGTAAGAATAAAAAATCTATTGACTAGCTTAAAAAGTAAATATTTCAATTGAATATATACATGTATATACTCAATTATTTTATTATTTAGTTTTATTACAACATGATCAAATACGAGATGAAATATATAAACAAAATGGTGTATCACTTTTTATTTATTGTGCAACTACAACAAAATATGATGCACTTATTCAACAACGAGCACTTGAAAATCTTTTAATAATGTCATTTCATGAAAAAGTTCATTTAAATTTAAAAGAAAATACCACTCTCATGACATATATTAAATCTATATCAAAAAATTCTACTGAATCAGATCTACAACGAGCAGCTCAAAGTTTATTATGGATATTGACAAAAGATGAAACATCGAAAGAATTAATAGATAATCAAACAACAGAGACGACTTATGACATAATGATTAGTTATTCACATAAAGATAAAGATTTATGCTTTCAGCTTTATGATCGTTTACAAAAAGATAATTTTCGTGTGTGGTTAGATCGTGATCAAATGCATGGAACACCCCTTGAATCTATGTCAAATGCAATTGAAAATTCGGAATTTGTATTTCTCTGTATGTCGGATGCATATAAACAAAGTGGATATTGTAAAATGGAAGCATATTATGCACTAGAACGACAATGTTGTATTATTCCACTAGTTATGAAATCACAATATAGACCTGATGGATGGCTTGGAATTGTTGTTACAGGAAGAATGCGTATCGATTTTCCAAAATATGGCTTTGAAGATGCTTATAATAAATTAATGATTGAGATTGATCGAAATCGAAAAGAGAGAAAAAAAGAGAGTCATTCACATCATCATGATTTACCAGCGACTACTAAACCATCTGATAACACTTCGGCTAAAGAATATAAAGTAATAGAAAAAATGATATTTCAAGCAAAAAGGTAAGATTAAGATACAGAAAAATAAAAGAAAAAAAAAATTTTGCTTTTGATTTTTTAGTGATCATTGTTTACCGTCAAATATTGAACGATGGACAATCGATGATGTACAGCAATTTATAATTAAACAAAAACTTGAAAGTTTTTTACCTATATGTTCACAAATGAATGGTACACGTCTTGTTCAATTATATCAAATGTGTATGAAGAATTCACCAGTGATGTTTCAATCGCTCAATAATCAACTTACTATGACGAATATTGAAAAGACAAAGTCTACAATTGAAATTATTGAATACTTGCAGTTTTTGGATGATCTTAAACCTTTTGTACCGATTTCATGTGAAAAAACAGAAGTGATTGGTACTCGATCGGCTCTGTGCATACTAACGTGATGCTTCTTGTGCAATGGATATTTCCAATAAAATCATATTGCATGGATCTATCTTTTTCTGTGTCTTAACATTATGATAGAGCAGCCATATACAACAAAACATTCAACACTATTGTTTTTTTTCTAGTAACAATTGATGAGTTTTCAAGCAACGTTGTTGCAATAAAAAAATCTTTCGAAAAAATTAGATAAATAAGTAGTTGATATTTGGTATAGTGTATACTTTATGTGAAATATATTATATTTTTTTCTCACTGAATATAAGCCGTTTTGTCGGAATTTGGTAAATATACGATTCGCTGTAGGTGCACGAGAGGAAGATGGCAAAGAACAGGGGTGGCATGTTCACTTACTTTTTGGAAAGGAAAATATATATAATCGACAAATTCAGATTTTCTTCTTGTTTCTTGATTTGTTACTCTCTCTCTTCACATTTATCTTTCTTCAGATTATCTTTTATTTTCTTTGATTCTGTTTACTTGATTTGATATCTTCTCCTCAATTTCTTGAGTCTGTTTCTATATCTACTTCATGATTTCTCAGTCAATTCCAAATCGTATGTATGTGCGTGCGAGAAAATTTACTCTTGTCATTTGATGAAAAATTGTGATCTAAAATAGTTTTGACAGTTGTTCGTTCCAAAATGTGTGAAGAAAACTAATCAGTGCATATTGTTGAGCAAGTTCTGCTCTATCGAACTGCTAAGGCCATCATTCTCGTTCATTCCGACTTTCTGATCGACTTTTTCGTACATTGTTCCGCTACAGTGCGTATCTATGAACACTATACACATGCATGAGAGTTTTTTAGACTACTAAGGACTCTGGTGTAGTTTTTCAAGAAGAATCTAAATGTGGAATTGATTTTAAAATCCGAATGGATGATCGTGAACTATGATCGCTTTTCTGGTAAAAATATGACTTGAATTTATTGCAAAATACACAAAAAGCATCAATGTTATTTGTCCCGTATCTCTCTAGAAATAGCGACCAAATACAGAAATTTTATAACCAAAATAATCAGTGCAAAAAGCTCTACAAATTCTGAAAATTTCACTGGATTTGGACATGATCGCTGAATCAACTAGTGAGATCCCATGAATATACCCATATATAAAATAGAGTCAATGTCAATGAACATTTTGAATTTTCATACTTTTTAGTTCATCGTTGTGCATAAATAAATGATTGCGTTCTTTTAGATACGTAAATAAAGAATGAAGAGGCGAATACTTTAGAAATTCGTCAATAGCTTCAAATACACAGTAAATATTCCACTCAAGCTATTTGTTGCCTGTCAACAGTAATTGAAATATCTGTTCATTTTGTATTTATGTTCAAGAAAAAAAAAAGCAACAATCAGATAAAAAATATTGTTTTTTGCTGTATTTCTTTTTGATATTCGAATATATAAAATATGAAATTCAGTCACATGATATCTAGGTGCCTGATAATCCATTTATGAAAATGAGTTTTGATATTCTAACAAAAGCTAATTACTGATTTTGTTGTTCCTTAATTTAGTACATATCACATCATCGTTTCGTTGATTCATTATTATGTATGCATTTTTCGTCATAAGTATTATCTTTTTTTGTCATTTAGTACAGTACGAGAACCTTTCTTCAACAGTAAAAACCAATCATATTTTTATATCATCGAGTGAAGAAAATATAATACTTGATTATACTAGTTCGTCGTCACTTTGTAAATGTTTTGATACTATTTCAATTAAACACACAAAAGAACGTCCTTGGGCAGTGTGAGATTTGGTGTAAGTGTCGGCATACAGCGTGCGCATAAGTGCTTGAGGTGAACTTGTTTTTTTCTTGATGCACTCACACCCAAATTTGTCTCTATAAGGAGATCCTAAGATGCTCAACGTGGAAGATTAAAATACATCTTTAATTTTATACATTCTTTGATTCATAGACCTTACGGAGAGCGCAATCGAAAAAAAACTGATGCTATCCAGTTGTTGTGATTAGTCTTATTAAATCAAACGTCTTGCAATGTATACAAAAAAACTGATCTTGCCTAAATATGACAAAGAAAGACGCTTTAATATGCTTTATAGTATGTTAATTTTTTTCATAAACTGACCGTAATTTTTTAAGCTTTGCCTGAATTACTACAAATATTATATAATGCATTTATACCATTTTCGATTCACTGCATCTCCCTTAAGAAGGGCACTATAAACTTCTTCCTATTCCACCACACATTTGACATATCTCCGTCCTTTTCTTACTACTTTTGCAAGCATAGCATCAACCTGGATTAGTAGTTGTGGAATTGGTAGAATATGTTTGTAGGAAATGTCCAAGTATTTGAATTCTACTTAAAACAATCTTAAACAACCAAAGAGTGTTTTCAGACTTTTGTTGCATTAATAAGGCGACAATGGAAACTGATTGATAAAAATTGTTAGCAATATGAATGATAATTAAACTATTGTAAAAGTTTAAAACTCATTCAGTATTTTTATTCTTTTATAACTCTTTTAATATTCAGTTATAATACTTATATAAAAAATCTAGTGAATAATTCAAATTTCAACAGAAAATAGACTAACATGGATGATGCCCGTCTATTTTTAGGCGAAAATGCTTTAATTTAAGATAATTCAATTCTAACTGTCAAGAGAATTGCAATTAGCATGAGATAAGAAAAAGAACGATCTCTAACATCAATATCAACGTTATAAATCTTTCAAACATTTGCAAATATTATTGTTCATAAGATTTAAACTGTATGTCTCAATACTCGATTCAGCATCAGTTATTGCATTCCAGACATATCACAAAAATTATCGACAAATAAGTACAAAAAAATGATGAAAAATAAAAGAATGTTTCAATTAAATAATGTTCACTTTGTACAGGTGCACTTATCAAATAAGATATTGTTTGCTTGTTCTCTCTTCAAGCGAAAAGCTTCTTCCTACATTTCAATTTGAAAAAAAAATAAATTGAGCCGAAGTGAAAGCACTGAAGTTACAACGATAATTCGTTGTCATAGAATCGATAAAGAATCCAAGATATCAAATACGAGGTCATATCTTGACAAACGATGTCAATATGAGTCTTTCTTGTGATATAGACTTACTACATTTTTTACTTCAGCACTAAGACTGAACAAATGAGAATTTTGGTGACATTGAAACGTCGTGTTATTTCACTAACAGTTTTGTAATTCAATTGTATTTGATACTATTGCTTTTGATTATCATCTCATTATTTAATGAAGACATTACTCAATCGACAACGATAAACCTATTCTTTTTAGACGTGTTGTAAAAATAAGATCATAAGTGAATGATTGACTATATGGATCGAAAAAAAATACGGTCGTCAATTGTTTATCATAGTAATATGGTTTTTAGCCAAACTAGGTTATTTTATTTCTCCTTTACATAGAAAGATAAAGCAAACTGAGATGAAAAATTTTTCTTTCAACATCAATGTTTGACAACATACTAAAGAAGTCAGAAATTTTCGACGTTATTTTTAGCAGAACTTGCTGAAGTGATCCGAATCAAGTCACATAATTTTTTAAACGGAAGAAAATATTTGATCAGCACGACAGATTAAATAACCAATCAAATAAATATATAAATCATCGATATAAAAATTAAATGATCAGTGAATAATAATAAAATGAACAGTTTACTAAATACAAGTGATTCATCAGTAGAAAAATAAGTTTTAACCGTATTAAGTACAATAGTATGAGAAAAAGAAATTCGAATAAATAAGAAAAAACCAGAAAGAGCAGTTAACAGAAACTCAAGGAATCATTGAGACAAGAGAAAATGAGATTATTTTCTCACCAATGGGAACCGTTTTTCTAATAACGGTGGTTTGCAATATTTTATATTTTAAACTAATAATCATACCAACAATGTGGTTATATATGTAGTTCTTAAAAGTCCCTTGACAGTTACATTTTGGTCTTTTACAATCTCAGTCATTATCCATTTTCATACATCAAATATTCAATAATTTTGTGTATTGATTAAATGTCGACCACATTTTATTTTTACATTTATTTAAATTTTCTAGAGATATTGGTTGTAAAGCAAAATCTAGCGTATAATGTTTTTTCAGACTCATTTGAAATACAAATTACATCCTTTGTTGATTTAGTCCATTGATAACATAAAGTTCATATTTCTAAAGATATTATGGGTTCAGTAGCAAATAATTTTTCATTGATTGATGTGACATCTCGTTCGATGGATCAATTGTTGACAATATTTGAAGCTCTTATCGCAAGTCTTGATAGAATATGACATTTTCTATATGTTCTATCATTTTCATTGTTTTGTTGGTTGCTTCTAGAGTTTTGTTTGTACTTCATATAAAAAATTGTATACTTTTGTACGAACCAATATTTTCTTTGAGTCATTCGTAACAAAAATAATTCATAAAAACTAATATTGATAATTTTTTTGTTTATTGTTTGTATTACATTTCTTCATAAATAATGTTGATGTTAATGTGAATAATTCTGTAGCATTGAATGATTGAAGCATTTTGCTATCTTCTTTTATCTCGTTCGGAATATGTTTATGATCTGTTTAAGTCAAACTATAACATATTTTAACTTCTATGCATATCTTTTTATTTTATTTTATGTTATTCAATTAGATTAACTGATTCTCAAATTTATTTGCAGACCTAATTGATTAATAACTGATCAATCATTCGATTTACTAGTTTTATAATATTGGAATGTACTGATCATATCATTTTTAGTACTGATCACTTGAATCATGGCCTCTTTCAAAACAATTAGAAAAAGCTCAGTAGCTTTCAATATTTTTAGAATGATAATGTGGTACCTCGACCGATTGACAAATACTTTTCAGGCTTCATGGTAGTGACTTTGAACTATGGAATGGTATATTCTATACTTAATTGTAAATTCTCAATACGTTGTAAAAAAGAAAATAATCAAGATAGAACACGAACGGATATTCTAGGAATGTCCAAAGAAT